CCTGTAAGGTCTCTTTTGAGAAATCCTCTGACAGTCTGATGGGAACTCCTTTGTAGGTGACTGTCCCCTTATCTCTTGCTGCTTCTAGGATTCTCTCCTTCATTTTCATCTTGGCTAATGTAATGATGATGTGCCTTGGTGTATTTCTTCTTGGGTCCAATTTCTTTGGGACTCTCTGAGCTTCCTGGATTTCCTGGAAGTCTATTTTCTTTGCCAGATTGGGGAAATTCTCCTTTATTATTTGTTCAAATAATAGTTCAAAGTTTTCCACTGGTGGCTGTTCCTTTCCCCTTTCCGGTACCCCTATAATTCAGATGTTGGAACATTTAAAGATGTCCTGGAGGTTCCTAAGCCACTCTTCATTTTTTTGAATTCTTGTTTCTTCATATTTTCCTGTTTGGCCTTTTTTTTTCTTCCTTCTGGTTCACTCCCTTGATTTGAGTCCCAGTTTCCTCTTCATCACTATTGGTTTCCTGTGCAATTCCCTTCATTTCAATTAGTTTAGCCTTCATATGTTCCTCTAATTTGTGACTAAAATCAACCAGTTCTGTGAGCATCCTGATCACCAGTATTTTGAACTGTGCCTCTGATAGGTTGGTTGTCTCTTGGTCACTTAAAATTATTGGCTCTGGGGCTCTGAGCTGTTCTTGAGCCATAATGTTTTGGTCTGTTTGCGCCTGTTATGTATGAGGGGTGGAGCCTTAGGTGTTCACCGGGCAGGGCCACCTAGTTGCTGGTTCGTGGCGCTGTATGTGGGGGCGGGGTCAGAGCGGGGAAATGGTGGCCCCCTCTGCTGCCTCTCGCAGCTGGGGCCTGCTCAGTCCCATCTCACCACCCACTCCCTCGCTGGTCTATCTGCGCACAAATGCCCGACCACAGTCAACCCATGCCCTGTGCCCTCGCTGGGTCCGCTGGTCACTCACTGGGTCCACCTGTTGCAATCCAATGCCTGGGATCCACGTGCCTGAGTCCGTCTGACGGAGTTTTCCTGTGCAACCCCGCTCCGCCAGCTGCTGGCTTCACCCCTCTTACTGGTCAGACTGAAGAATTTGTTGTTATTAGGCTTCCGAAAAGTTCAGTTTTCTGTGTTCTGGCTATGTTTTCTGTTGCTAATATTTTATTGTCTCTAAACTTGGTTGTGTGAGAAAGCTTGGCGTATCCACCTATGCCTCCATCTTGGCGGAAGTCCCCTAAAAGACTCTCAACAGTTACCAGAAACTGCGGAATATGAGTAGGTATAAAATGGCTCTAAGTTTATATTTAAGTTCAGTGCTTTACAATGAATTCACTAATCTTCGTTTTCCAGTGTTTGCTTGTGCTTTTTACTCAATTGGTTCAGTATATTGAAGTCCATACATTAAGTCTGTAACAAGATAATTTTTATGTTGATAAAAATAAAGACCAAATTTTACTTTTAAATTTAAAACTTACTTTCAGGCAAAAAAAGTAAAACATATTGCCAGAATGCTATAATCACTTTGAAATCTGCTGAAATGCTTTAATAATTTGATTTCCAGTTGAAATTGCATAGTTTATCAAATCATAGTTAAGCTAATTAGTGTTACATATTTGTGTTTCTTGCTGTCTGAAAAAGTGGCATCATGATGTAATGACCATCCGGGCATTTATTTGTCTTTGGCTCAATAACATATTATAGTGGCCTCAATATAGTTGATGTGCTTGTTATCAGTTTAACAGGCAGTGGCCCCTGTCCTTTAACTGGTTATTCTGCTGAATTTCTTCAGGGATATGTATTGAACAAATTATAGTGGGTAAGTTTTACATTCTGTTTCAGATTCTTATTATTACTCAAATATCCAAATAAGATTATCGGTGAAAGTGAAAAATGGGTCTTTTATTTTACAGAAAAAAAAACTAAACAAACTTTTAGGCTAACCCAGTAAATTTCTTGACAATTGCTTGGAGCCCAGAACTTAGCCTGTCAAGCTTTAGTTTACTTTCTGTAAATTAAGGGCTGGGATGAGTGCAAAGGTCGGATCAGGTCAGTGATTCCTAATCCAGATTGCAGGTCAGAATCACCCTGGGAGTGTGATCGCTGCTGCGGCATGGAGCCATCTGACAGAGATTCTATTCCACAGGTCTGGGGTTGGCCCTGGCTATTTTGTAAAAACGTGCTTTTCAGATGATCCTTGGACTATCTGCTGAGAATGAGAAACTGCTGAACAAATGTTGCATTTTTAAAACTGTAGAACTGTGACCTATTAGTGCAGAAGTGGGGCTGCTGTCTACTTTTGTAAATTGGAAAAGAGTTATGCTCCTAATTTCCATATTATCTAGGGCAGCTTTCCGGCTGCAGTGGCAGTCTTGAGTAGATCTGATGGACACATGGCTCACAGAGCCAGAAAATATTTACTATCTGGCACTTTAAAGAAAAAAGTTTGCAGACGCTTTCACTAGTGGGTTATAAAATCATTTTAATAGGTTGCAATCAGTATTTGATAAAACAAAATAGAAAATACTAAAGCACATTGCATGTACATAAGATTTTAGAAGTGAGTTTTTAGTCTTTCCTAAAATGAATATGAACATGTAGAACAGATAATAGATTTTGTTAAACTTGTTAATATATAAACGTTTGTGTGTATTTGTATATATTCATATATATGTGTATACACATATTAGAGAAAATGTATTTCTCACTGTGGGTAGCAGTCATAAAAGCTTGAAAAAAATTAACCACTATGATTCAAGGTCCCTTTCATTTGTGGACTCAGTCTTGGGGGTGCTACGGCAGCATGGATTTGGGTGGGAGGGAGGCCTGGGTTGGAGAAGAGACAGGGGAGAACATGGTTTACCTGATTCACCCTGGTTCTTGGGGCTGCTTTGTCTTAGTGAGTCACCATTGCCCCTTGGAGAATGGGTAGTGCTCAAGGCCCATGTTTCTCCGACTGTCATTGACAGAAGCAGAACTGGAGTTGTGTAGAGGGTGTGAGGGTGTTTCAAACAGGGCTGATATTAAACTTATGGGGTGGTTTTGAGGGTTAAATATATACCCACACCTCAAACTAAGAAGTATTATACCAAAAACCACCCCCCAAAACAACCTAGGATGCCACTATTTTTCCTCTGTAGCTGTTGATTCCTGTCCCACCTTGCTTTGGGATACACTCCAGAATGTGACCAGCCGCAGCACTGTCTCTGCATGAACCAGTGGTGGCAACAAGGACCAGGAGAGAGAAACACAGGGGTCAAAGCTAAGGAAGAAAAAAAACGGGGTTCAGATCCACTGAATACTAGAACGATTCTTATTCCCAAAATATAGTAACAATAAAAAAACAACCAACAGAAAAATCTACCATATTTAGATTTCTTCAGTGAAAATTCTGATTTGCTATTTGTTATAGTCTGAATGTTTGTCTCCTCCAAAATTCATGTTGAAACCCTAACCTCCAGCGCGATGGCATTAGGAGGTGGGGCCTTTTGATGACGATTAAACCCTGAGAGCAGAGCCCTGTGACCAGAGCTCCTGTCCTTATAGACTCCAGAGTGCTCCCAAGCGCCTCCAGCCATGTGAGGACACGGGGAGAAGACGGCTGTCTATGAACCAGGAAGTGGCTCTCACTGGAGACCCAATTTCCTCATGTCTTGAGCTTAGACTCCTCAACTTCCAGAAATAAGTAAGAAATAAGTTTTCGTTGTTTCATATCCACCCAGTCTACTGTATAGTCATAGCCACCCCAAAGGACTGAGACAGACTATAAACTGTCAGTTGCCCAGATTAAGGAATGAACCTTCTGATTAATCAAGAATGATCACTATGTAACTACTTTAAAATATCAATATGTAATCAAATATAATTTGCATTTTAAAGTAAAAATAATTCAATATAATGAAACAGAAAGCCTTTCAGAATCAGGCAGTGCATCAGAATCATGGAGATGGTTCAAGTTTTGGTTGACAGTGACTGATTTATTTATGATATACTCCTATATGTAATCAAATATATATATATATTTTCAAATGTGGAATTTAAAGGGGTGCCAAGGTGCTATGGTCTTTCAAGCTGATGCTTGAATTACTTGTGATTTAGTCAACAGATATTGTGCACATACCACGTGCCAAGCACTGCTCCACACACTGGAATACGCAGGTGAAAAAATGTTCTTCCCACAGGGAGTTCACATTTCCTCATTCTGTTCGAACTCCTCTCAGAGGGACTTATTCTATGGGACAGCCCAGTGCATCTTTAGACTTGGCAGTTTTCCTGTCAATTCCACTCATTTAGAACCAATGCAAACCCAATTCTCCATGACAGTTCGACAAATATTTGAAGGCAGTTCTCAATGTCCGATCTCAACTCCATGTTTACCTTCACTCCTTTCCAGATTTTTCTCTTTTCAAACTAAGAGTCCTGCATTCCCTCAACTATCCCTCCCGGGGCAAGAGGGTGCCCCACTCTCCAACGAGTGATAACAATCCTACCACTTTTTTTATTTTTCTGCTGCTCTTAGTGTTAATAAAACACTCTTAAGTGAAGACAGACTAAGAGTTGGGGCAGGGAGGTGGTTGGGAAGGAGTGTGGCTGTAAGAGGGCACATGAGACCCCTGTTGTGGGTCCTTGTGGAGAGAGGACTGTTCAGCACCCTGACTGTGTCAGTGTCGAGAGCCTGGCTGTGATATTGTACTATAGGTTTTCAAGATGGAGAATGGGTGAAGGGTACACAAGATCTCTCTCTGCATTATTTCTTACACCTGTGTGTGAACCTACAATTCTCTCAACATAAACAGTTTAATAAAAATTAGTATTTCTTGCCCTGGCTGGTGTAGCTCAGCGGATTGAGCGCAGGCCTGTGAAGCAAAGGGTCGTCGGTTCGATTCCCAGTCAGGGCACATGCCAGGTCCCCACTAGGGGACACATGAGAGGCAATCACACATTGATGTTTCTCTCCCACTCTTTCTCCTTTCCTTCTCCTCTCTCTAAAACTACATAAAATATTTTAAAAATAGTATTTCTCACCAGAAAGAACAGACTTTACACATTGTCCAAATGCATTCTTTTTATTGGAGAAGGACAATCTCAAGGCAGTGCCTTTTGGGAAAGGCATCTCTCATCATCATGTATATGGCGACCAACCATTACTTTCCGCCAAGTACAAAAACACACACATCAGTGACTTCCGTACAATAAATACATAATCATGCATCCCACAATAAAAGGCACGGAAAACTGATCACTTAGTAGTCATAAAAATTGCTAGCTACATTATTAACAAAGCCACCCAATTATCTGTATAAGGAATTGTAACAATATATTCCAAAGGTGAAAACACATAAAACATCTTTAAAATAGTATGCAATAAATATCTCAATTGTTTTATATATTTAAAAATTATGCTATTGTAAACAGCATGTAAACAAACAAAACTCACGTTTTCTTACCATTATTAAAAGTAATTAGAGCCATAGTTATAATCTCTGCTCTGTCAGGTATATTTCACCAGCAAGTGTGCTAAGCAGTGAAAAGTTCCACTCTTTTCTGCAGCAAACAGAGCCCACTGTGTAATAAATAGACATGATCTGCATCTTTCAGATACAGTACAATTTTGAAACAGACTACCAAAATGTAGTAAACTCTTAACTATTAATAACATAGAAGAGGCTAAACTAAAACTATCTTTTCCGATGTAAGGGTCAAAAGGAACTCTACTGTTATGATTTCAATATGATAAATAGAAGGCAAACAGTTACCGAGTATCTTTAGCAAAAGGAATAGTGTCTAGCCTTCTGAGTTTCCTTCTGTTGTGGACTTTTATAACATCCAACAGACAGTACAGCTGTATTAAACTAAGAGTTTTCTTTTGTTAGAGAACATAGAAAGGGTTATTACTTTATGCTAATGGGAAATGGTGACTTCAAAATGTGCCTATCAAAGTGTAAATATACATACAAGTAAGGTTTTTTTCATACTTATGGACAACAAAGGGCAGTTTTTTTCCTTCTTGTAAAGGAACCCTATTGCCTAACCATCAATAAATATTCAGAGAAGTGTATTTTTTGTAACTTAAATACTTTTGTTTTATTTCACCTGTAAGTCAGTGCATTGAGGCACACCAGTACTATTAGTATATTCACTATATGCCTAGATAAGTATGCTACCTGTTAAAATATTACTTCCTGCTCTCCAACAAAAATAATTGAGGTGGAAACATCAGCCTGTAAGTTCAAGCGGAGCCTTTTCTACCAGGAAGCATTACTTTACAGTGCTTCCCCTCTACTGTAGTACATGAGGCCTACCTCATACATTTTGGTGTATGTGTCATTAATAGGGACATACACCTTTCTAAAATGGACTTGAAATTTAACTCATGCTTTACAAATCTCCTGGGTCTCCTGGGTCACACACAGCACCTATGACTGTGGAAATGGGGTTCCATAGGTTTGATGAAAGCTGTACTTGACAAATGATGGGCAAAAGTACTTGTGGTTCACCTGAAGATATAAAAACTGTAGACACAGAAATGGGATTATTTCCTTATGACACAAGATTTTTTAGTTTTTTGATGTGGAAGGAGACCACTTCTCTGATTTCAAACTCTGAGAAATATATGGTTAAGAAGGTGCCCTCCCAATTTTTTAGGTGGACTATAGAAAAGTAATTATGAAAACAAGCTCTACCAGACAAGAATTATGTGCTATTTTAGTTGTATCCCCAGCATCTAATAAGGTGCCAAGAATAGAGCAGTTAGGAAAATGGCTATTAAGTAGTTGAAGGAAGAGGGCATTTATTCACAGCATTTTTGGCTACTATTTTAGAAATTACTAACTTGATAGACCTTTTGCATTAACCTTAACCATAATTTGGGGACACAGTTGAAAGACTTTACAGAATCACAAAAGAGAAACAGACCCTTGGATGTCCGGGGTGCACACAGAAAGAGTACTAATAAGTTTTTGAAGATGGTAGAAGTGAGTTTTTAGTCTCTCCTAAAATGAATAATACGAACACGTAGAACACAGGTAACAGATTTTAGTCTCTATGTTTTTTATAGGGGGTGAAAGTCACAAATAATCCTTCTAACCCTTAAATCATAAAAAAATCAAAGTTATTAGCTACAAACCTGATATCACAAAAATTCAGTGATTTCACAGAAATCTCTGGCTGAATTTTCAAAGAAAATTTCAAGTTTATTACTGATTTTATTCTTTCTGAAGTCCCACTATTTTGTGTGGATGATCAGTGCACAGGTGTCTATAGATCGTATACACCGAATGTGTACAAAGGACAAAGACAATTTTTATGGCATATGTATGGATTACAAATAAGAATTTGTCAGTTATGTGAAATTTGATAAGCCTCGTATTTAGAAACAAGAATTCAGATTTGGTAAATATTTCTGACAAACAGCTAACAGATGAATCTCCTTCATAAAGCAATGGCTCTTTCCTGCTTTTTATCTTCTGTTGGTTTCCTGGAGTGTATGTGTGCTCATGAATACATATACCTCATGTGGACTGTCAGAGAAGCCTACATTTTCATATGTGAAAATATAAAACTGGAGAAAAGTTGGGGTTCTTTACTACTTTCACTCACTCAGAAACATTTATTAAAGTCCTATTATGTGCTAGCTAGACAAAATTATAAAAGGAGAGGTTAATGAGGGAGGCAGGCATATATAATACATAAAATTGTTGAAATGTGATGTTATTTTAACAAAAAGTTTCAAGATTCTATGAAGCATGGATAAAATGCTTAACTTGGTTTGGGGAATTTGAACTGAGTCTTGAATGAGTTAGCCTGTGCTATGTGATTATGCCAGGGCACTAAATTGTGAATAGTTCCAAATTCTGGAATTACAAAAGATCTCTACAGGAAATGGTGGGTGAGGATGCTTAAAAAAAAAAAAAGGTAAAAAAATAGTGGTGTGAGGATGCTAAAAAATCAGGGTCACAGAGATCCTTATGCTTCATGCTGAACTGTTAGGCTGCTATACTCTAATGAGAGTGTATTTAAGAATTTTTAGCAAAGCATGCAAGGTAAATTTGTGTTTCAGAAAGACCACTGTGTCAACAATGAGGAAGATGGACTAGAGATGGGGAATGAAGGTAGGAAAACTGGTTGCTGAAAACCAGAAAAGCACAGGATAGAAAAATGGTGAGTTTGTACTAACAAAAGCAATGAAATTATCGCTTTACTGCAACTAATTAAAAATAGAACATAAAATGCTGATTCAACTTTGAAATGAACAAAAACCAAAATATGCAATAGCATAAATACTGAAATAACTTTTGAGATATAAAATGCTTTTGTTTACACAATCCAAGACCAAGATTAGAATTAAGCATTCGTTTTGTTCCAATTTTAGTTTATGAGTTTCTTGGCAGAAGGATATAATCACATAATGTTGCTATGAAAACAGTGTCATGTCTTCAAAGCTTTCTGAAAGCTTTTCAAGTAAAAGGAGAAGAAACAAAAGAATTGCTAAAGTTTGCAATTTTTCATCCTTAACCTTATGCATATTAAAATGTATTGCAGGATTAAAATCTGTAAATAGGGCAGGCTCCAAAAAAATAATAATTTTAGTTATATACTAAGGTCAACTGTGTATCAGGTCATTGTGGGAAACAAATTCCCGGAAAAGTGATTTCTTCCTGTCACTATACCAAATCATTCTGGAATCATCCATTACAGATGTATCATTATGACAAGCTGTGCCCTGGCTGGGGTGGCTCATTTAGTCGGGTGTCATCCCACAAACTGAAAGGTCACCAGAGCCATTCCTGGTCAGGGTACATGTCTAGGTTGTGGGTTTGATTTCCAGTTGAAGGATGTTCAGGAGGCAACCGATCAATGTTTCTTCTTCACACTGATGTTTCTCTCTCTCCCTCCCCTTCTCTCTCAAATGAAAATAAAATAGACATTAAATAATAACTTGTGCTATTAAGACATCAAAATACCACATGAATAAGTTCTGATTCAGTCTTTTCCTTTACATTGTACAGCTTTCACACTTTTAGGGGAGCTCCCAAGTTATCACATTATGCTGTTAATAAACACCAGATTTTGCAAAGAACCTATGCCAAGGATCCAATAGTGACTGAATTCAAATGTCAGGCAAAAATAAAAGCAATGCTCATTTACTGTAATGTATATTTAATAGTTTTCACTGTTATTCTAATTTATTTCCCTTAGTTGTACTAAGGTTTTCATTATGGCAGTAATTAAGGAAATCGCTCGTTTAGTCTCTTTAAAGAAGTTTGGAAGGTACTCTGCAGTTAGAGAGCACCAATCCACGGGGTTTACACTAAGTCACTTAGCATAAAGAGTCAACAAGGTCAGGGAGTCCTGTGATCCATTTTTTTAATGACTGATTTAAATAAAGTCTCCCTCCAAAAAACAAAGAGGAAGAGGAAGAAGAAAGAAACATTTTCCTCTTTAGAAAATTAATACTAGAAAACATGAAGGTCTTAATTTAAAAAATATTCACTGCTGTAAAATGGTTGGAGTAGATACAGAAGAAAATACTACTAAATTTTTGGAGATTTCAGAAGTGAGTTTTTAGACGACCCTAAAGTGAATAATATGAGCCTGTATGCACAGATGAAAATACCCATAACCTACTATGACACAGAGAGCAGTAATGTTACTTCACTCTTATTGTTAAACTGAACATCAAGGGATCCTAATTTGGAGTTTTAATTTTCAAGCTATAGTCTTGGAAGCGTTATGTCTTAAATGACAGTAGGAAAGAAATGGTAAATTTAGGTATGATTCACACTTACATCATTTTTTGCCAAAGAAAAATTCCCAAGTACTTATAATTGATAATATTGTGTGCCATCTCTACTTGGGGAAACTGAGGCATACAGTTTGTAGAAAGGAAGCACCAAAGTCAGTTATGGAACTCGATACACTTAAACCATATTCTTATCTCCAGATTCACAGGATTCAGCTATGTGTAGTACTATAAATTTTAATATTTGTTTTGTTTCAAAAGAAAGGAAAATCTATCCTTGCTAAAAATTTGAAGGCAGGTTCACGAACATCTCTTTTGTCTGAATGGTATATGATCTGTATTTATCAGAGTTCTTCTCCAGGAACTAGCAAAGCCCTTCCTCTACCAATCACTAAGTGGAGAAAGCAGACATTATTTGCCTTATGTAGGAAATAAAAATGATTAGGAGGTCATTTTTTTTCACTTGTTTAAATGCCTTCTAAATTTCAACAGTGAAATGGGCCCCCAGAATTCTACTGGTTACTTGGGTGAGGTGCAGAGACAGTCTCAGAAGCTTTACCAGGTGACGTTTGGGTCATGTTTCTGACACTGTACGTACCATACACCTCACAGGTTTTGTGCTCCTATAATATAAGGTGAAAGCTATCTATATTCAAACTATTTATTTGCAAATCTTTCCAAAATAACTCAAGCTTCTTTTCTTTTAATACCCATATGATGTTTCTTGTATGTCTTTTTTCTTGCCTTCAAAAACTGGTTGTGTAACAGTAAGATTAATATTAAACTGTCTTTAAAATTAAAGTAAATTAATTCTGGGTCTCCTGTTATAGTTTTTAAATAGTTTGCAATTCATCTACTGTTTACACTATAAAATAGTTGAATTTAGGGCTTGCTAAACTGATTTCATTGGTATACAACACTGCCCCACATTAAGTCGGAACAGTTTTATTTTCTTGAAAATGTGATTTTATCCTGTGTGTTATGTTGTGCCATTATGTTTTAGATTTTGTTTTTGAAAGAGTTGAATAGAAACTACTTTTAAACCAAAATAATTCAGAACTCAATTAAAATCCCATTGACTTAATTGACAGAAACAAACTATTAGTCACCATGGTTACTATTTGTAAAGTAGCCCAGATTTAATGCAATCATGTGTTAGAAATATATACCCTGGAACCTGGAGCTAGCCACTGGAAGTATGTGATAATTTGGGGTTCAACATTCTTAATGTACATTTGAATGTCATACTGGCAGTATAATTACTGAGATCTCTTTTACGGTACAACAAAAATGGAAAATTTAGCACAGAAAAGTTCTGATTTGAAGATAAACTATATACATGTTGGCAAAAAATAGCACGATGAATTCCCTGGCTACATTAAATCCTTAATAGTAGTGATATCATTTTGGCTTTCTGCCTTTTCCACAATTTTAACCATGATAATGATTTTTAACACAGTCCCTATTACTATTCAGTTACCTATGCTAGTACAGAATACTTTTTTAACAAGGAAAAAAACTGGGCATCTGTTTGACAGAAATGAGTACTTCAAGTATGCAAGTAAATCATTAACAGAGCTACTGTACTCTAAGCAAGAGCAGTAATAAGAAAATAGCTAGAATACACATTTTCTATAAAGATTACATTTCACAACATAATAAATAAATGCACTGATTTATACAACTTGTGAAAACCTTCTACTGATGATCACAAACAATACTGTCCATTGTTGACTTTGCTAATAACAGTGCAGCCTCTCCCTTAGAGACTCAAAAGTAAAATTCTTGCTCCAAAGCCACAAAATATACAAAGCTGGTTTGTTATGAAATATTTTGTCTGCTACAAGTCCAACAACCAAAGTACATTTTGGCAGTTTGAATAACCAGCATGACCTAATTATCTGGTTACAAAAAGATTAAGAAAAAATTTAATATGAAAATTAATAAAATCAGTAAAAGGAGAAATCTGTTGTATAAATAGACATTTTAACATAAAAGTGAGAATTTTATATCACTTAGGTGGAAAAATTTTGATACAACTTATTTAAAGATTTGAAAATAATTATCATATTTTCCCAGATGTAGTCAAATATATTACTTCAATTTATTAGTCATCTTAATATACAATATATAACTCACAAAACTGGGAATGTTACAATAGCAAAACCTTTTACAACATATGTTACCAGTTACCAGAACTGTAAGAAATATTAGTTATATATCAGCTTAATACTTAGAATGTAGAAATAGACATAGCTAAGCTGTGGTAAACAATAGTGCAATCAAATAGAAAGGACCACAAAATATATTCTTTTTCTTTTTTAGCTTGTATATCTAACCTCATTATCCTACTTCAATGGCATCATTAACGGAGCATAAAACTTATTTTAATACATTTAAAAGTAACCCTACATTCCTTAAGTTTGGCTAATTTACTCTTGAAATGCAGTTCCTATGAAATACCTGGAGTATTAATAAATTCCTATGAAATGAATAACTTGTAGCTAAAATAAAACATTTTATGTAAAGTTCTTAGAACTTTTAATTAATGGCTTGGTTTCTATTTTTCCAATTAAAACTTGGAAGTGCATAAAAATTAAGAGAATATAAATATATGTAAATAGAATATCTTACTTACATAAAGGAATTAATGTGTTTACCTATATTAGTAATGTGATTTCTAAAACAACATTACTGAGTTTAATGCAGTCTCAGTTACTCTGTTAAACTTCTTTTCCTGGAAATAACAGAAAGAAGTATATGAACAGGTACAGTCCAGCTGTCTTTTATCTCACTGTTCTTTGTAATAATAAACCTTTACGGCTTTTTATTCTAACAGAAATATCCCTAAACAGAACCTAGAGAAAACAGTAAAGAGAAAACATCAAGAAAGATTAAAAATTAGTGCTTTGTTTAGTATAAAACCAATAATCATGGCCTCTTTAAAGTTTTGGCTATTTCTTTAGGAATGCATCCTATTGCAAACGCAACACATTACACCTGACAGAGAGACCACAATACAAAAGCCCCCAGGGAGACGCCACAGCAGGGACAGCCCAGCCCCAGGCCCCACTGGACTGGTGTGTGTGGTGAGCAGAGATGGACAGGTGTGGGGAGGCTATGCAGTTGTCTAATAGCATTTGAGGAATCTTGATTTTTCACTTTTCTCAGCTAATTTAAAGGACTTGGCGTTTTAAAACTGCCACTTGTATCATGAATCTCTAAACCCACCGTTTTATCCAAATTCCACCTGAAAAATGCAGGATGAGTTTATTTTCTGGGGGGAAGAGAGGACAGGAGAAACACTAGACACCAAGGTGGAAAGAGGTCATGCTTTCCTAGCTTAATGAAAAGCTACATTCTTACAGAATTCACATCTGCATGAACACAAAAGTCCAATATGTCCTTAGCTCAGTTGGAGATAAAAAATAACTTGCTTTAGAACAATGTGTCAAGTTCCCACTATAATTTTCTAAGTCATGGCTTTGCATGAATATTTCCTTCCTCAATTCCTGTTAAAAGTGACTTCCATTAAGATTAAAATAGTGACCTTTTCGTTCACAAAAATTAGCTAAAGAATCTCTAGGAAGCAATGTTTTGGTAAATGATATAAAAAATTAAGTGAAGGATTGACAGTAAGTCATTGGGAAAGGTCTTATTGAAGAATTAAATAATTTATATTTTGAGGGTCAAGAATATAATATTTTCAGACACCATTTTAAGAAATTATTAGCTATCTGAAAATGAAGATTAAATTAGCATAAGAAAAACAGATTTAGTCTAGCAAACGTGCCGTCTTTGAGGGCTTTAATGAAACATTTCACTTTATTGGCAATCTTTTGAGTTTTTATGCCTAATGATTCATTTAATGTGAGTGCTGCTGTGTCAACAGGATAATCTACCAATGAGAGAAAGTGAAAAAGTACAAGTTGTTGGAAACTGACCCAGTCTTACTTATCTCAGTGCATATTCTTCTGAAATATTTTCTGTGACCTAAGTTGTGAACAAATGAGAATGCCAAACGAGCAACGAACCGAGCTGAAGGCAGACTGCTGGTGACTAAGACATGGGTAAGGCCAGCTGTGCTAGTTAGCCAATCTTCTCTGTTCTGCCCTCGCCACCAAAATGTAATCACTGGGTAGGTAGGGCTCATCTACAACCAGAATTAGGAATATGGACTGAGAAGAAAACTCAGCTAAGGTGATAAATGAGTTTTAGATGGGAAGGCAATATAAAACAGCAGACTGGGGGGGAAATGAGCTATTCTGAGGACCTTTTGAAGACCTCAGATCCCTAATATCTCGGAGGGATAAAACGTATTTAGGCCAGCGCTAATCATTCAGATGAATCTTGTTTAAAATTCTTGATTCAGTAGGTCTGGACTAAACCTAAGAATCTGCATTTCTCTTAAGTTCCCAGGTGATAAGGATGCTGCTGGTCCATTTTGGGTAGCAAGGCTCAATGTTATCCAGCAGAGTTTCTGTAATGATATAAATGCTCAATATCTGTACTGTCCACTGTGGTTATTTAGCTCTTGAAATGTGACTATGGAATTGAAAAACTCAGTTTCTACATAAAAATAAAAGACTTAAACAGCCACATGTAGCTAGTGGCTACGTACTGGACAGCATAGATCTAGACATTCATGGGTCACTTCTTCTCAGTAACAGCAATATATATGTGTACACACACACACACACACACACCATGGTCCCCAAACTGTCTAATCCACAGGTGGCAAACACAAGACCCGCGGGCCAAATCTGGCCCTGCACCTGCTTCTACCCAGAGGCAGCACCAAGCTCTCACTTAACTGTAAAGGAGTAGTTACATTTATACAGTCCTAAAACTACATTTGGCCCTTTGAAGGCATCTGTGAGGCTGATGTGGCCCTTGGTGAAAATGAGTTTGACACGCCTAGTGATCCATTAAAATTCACTTAGATGAGCAAGTTTCCTTTTATAAAATGCAAATGGCAAAAATAGTTTCTTTAAATGGTTTTCTTTCTAAAACTTTGCTGGATGACCTCCAGTGAGTGCTAAGGTGGGGAGAGCTGAGTCATTTTGCAGTAGGACAGTTAATGAGGAAAGGGTAGTACACAGCAGTGAGAATTCGAGCAACTATCACTGTGGTACGCATATGCGGAAATGTGAAACCAGGAAGTGGAAAAGAAACTCAGAAAGGGAGTGGAAAGATGTGGAAAAGTCAAATAGACACCAACATTTTATTTAGTCTCTTCCTTCTTGAAAAGCAAGTTCTTCCTCGAGAAAATGAGACTGACAGGAAGCGGGAGTTGGCTGTGATTCCTCTCCATCCCTCCCAAATTATTTGCCTAGCAAGTTGGAAGGTGGAATAGCCTAGCAGGTTGGAAGGTGGCAATGACAGCTAGCAATCAGGAGCAGGCTTGGGCTACTTGTCCCAACTTATGCTGGATCAAGGCACAGAGGCCTCACCTGCAGACCCCAGAGCTGTGATCAGACACCGGGAGAGAAATTCTTCCCACTGTTTTTTGCAACCTCATCCATTAGAAGAAGCTGGTTCCTCTGTGATACTGACAGGCACCTAGGGAGGCTCTGAGGGCACCACCCTGGCAGAAAGGTGTTGAGTGAAGTTGTTTGGGTCCTACATAACCACAAATGACAAAGTGGACAGGAAAATCTGCTCTCATTTAACAAAATAAAAAAAAAAATTAAATGATCATTTTAAAGGATTTCCCTTATCCAAGAGCCACTTGTAGAAAAATTCTACCTAATTTAAAGTCTCCATTAATGGAGGTTTTACGTCATATATAAGAGATGGTATCTAAGAATGAAAGATCAACATCAAACAAAAAAAGCCAATCATTTACATCTTATTCTTACATTCTGAAAGTGTAATAGCTTGAGATTTTTTTCTATTGGCAAAGCAGTATTTTGGGAGAGTGAAAATCAATAAAGATTTTCATATTCATTCATTTTTTTCTAGAGTTCCTCACCTCCTTGCCCCCCCCCTTTTCTGAGAACTTATCGAGTTATCTTTTATTCTGATTCCACGGGGAAGTGCCGGGAAGAGCAGGGCTCCTTGTGGGGGTGGGGACAGGGGTAAAAAAGGGACTAGAAAAGGCCTTTGGTTTCTTAGGTGTGGATAACATTAAAATTTTAAGCGAAGAGCTTTTTACTCCATTAAGCTACCTGATATAATTCTCTTTGGAAAATTTCCATTTATTCACAACTTAGGTTAAAATATGTATAGTCAGACACACTTGGTCAGGAACACATGGGGGTTCATTTATTTTTAAGATGTCCAAATTTTTGTGATTTTCACTAGTAGTTAAATACTAAAGTTATGAATAAGAATAAAGTCAAATATTTAAACTCCTTTGATCTAATTATGTCTGACAATAGTTCATTCAAACATTCAGCAGTTGTCTCGAAAATATCATTGAGAGCATATTTTGTGATTAAAAGTGTGACTATACATATGAATGTATATATGTGCATATACATGTCTATGTGTATATGCACATATGTGTATGGATATTGATTACCTACCTAGAAGGCTACTTTATGAAAATTGTCACCACTGGGTCAGTACACTACCCTGTTTACTTCTTTTATATAGATGGTTTTTAAATATTACAATTAACTTTTGGTATATAATATCTTAAGAAAGCTTATTTAAAGATATTTGTGTGGCTTTTTGATATGTATGCCTTTGGCTTTTAAAGATTTGATAATTGCACTGTTGACTCCTAATGAGCTACATCGAAATGCAGTGGTTTAGAAAAGGGAAAATAATATCTACCTGACAGGATACACAAATTATGTGAGATAATAAGAAGAATGTAAAGGCCTTTAAATAATTTAAATTTCTCTTGTTGGGAGGCAGTTCATGTCAGGAGTAACCTGAGCTAGTGGGTAAGTCTGGGTGACCAATCCAGTCATCAGTATACAAATCCCAGCTGGGACACTGAAGAAATTTCTGGAGGTTAACAGTCTCCTATATTTTAAATGCAAACACAGCATTAAATAATTATTAAATCAAAATGGAAGATTAAGAGCGAATGTGGGAATTTGGCTTTGGAAAGCATAATTAATATTGTTAGACAACAGAGAATGTAATTTGTGAAAATATTCAGAAAAATGCCTTAATGTGTATGCCCACTGTTTATGTTAAATGGACATAAAACTGGCTTGCAAAAGAGTATATTGTTTGTCGATTATGGGACAGACACATGTTCACAAATTCTTAGATACAGGATATTTATGCAAAGTCCACACTGAAGAACAGAAAATGCCTTTAGCTAACAAAAAGGTACTTAGGTAGTAATAAATTAATTCCACTAAAACTAAGAGTTAACAATATTAGATGTGACATGCAAGAAAAAGACAATTCAGGCAGCAACCATGTGCATTAAGATTCGCATTCATTCATAGTATTTGAGGGATTTTAAGCATGTTCTTTGACCACTGAGCACTAGGAATGTGAGGTGATACCAATATAACATTCGAAACACACCTTAATGTATCTTAGATCCCTAACCCATGAATATAAGGAAGAAGCCAATGCCTCCAGTAATGAGATATAAGAGGTTTTAGCCATATATTGTTTTGCAGTTGCACAATAAGAATATTCCACATGACCAGCTTTAAGGAAAGTAAACATTTTGCAATCCCACCTTTTTGACAATCCAATTGTCTCAGTTTTCCTACTTTTTTACTAACATGAGCAAATATGAACATGTTAGATTTGCACAATAAGAAAATGGCTCTGTGAAATGTATTTTTGGCACAAAAATATTTTCTAATATCTCAAATCAAAATTCTCACCCACGGCAAAATATCAAGTCATCGAGGTGTTTCAGTGGTGCTTACTTATCTAGGCATGAAACTACAAAAACAGCCAATTGCTTCCAAGAACTTTGTATTAAGTAGCAATTACTTCCTTTCCAAGGCATAGCACCGATATGATTACACCTCAAACTGGGGAGTGCTCCTTCCGAGCTCTTTAATTCCCTGCAGAATTCGCTTCACATGGCCCACTTTCAGTATCCCCAGGTCCTAAAAATAAAAAGAAAAAAGATACAAAGAAAGCAAGAAAAAAAAGAAGTTTATTGACAAGAGAAAATTAAGGGTTAAATATTTAACTTATAATTAGCATTCACTTCATTTATTTTAGAGTATAGTCAATGATTCAGAAAGCGAGAGCTAGAAAAATAAGTTTATAAAACAAAAATAACCTGACACTGAAATTTTACTAACCAGTAAAAAAGTCACATCCTATACAAATTCTGAAATGTAACATTCTGATAAATGATATACTATGGCAGTTTTTCAAGAGTCTACATTTGTTTCTCTTTTTTCTTCTTTTTTTAAGAACACTGGTTCTTTGGGATCCATGAGAAAAGAATGTGTGATACCTGGGCACCCACAATCAGTCTTAAATTAAAGCACCTGCACATGTCCTCCATGAAGTGAACATGGGCTCTAACCCTAAAGGAAGGGACCAGTGCCCATGACCTGCATTTGGAACACAAATGCTTTTGTAGTTGCACTGAGAGTGCAACTACACTTTGATTTCAGAGGAATATTTAAATATCCTTAACACTTTGTAATGTGTAAGTGTAAAAAATTCTTAAGCATAGGAATCTGTGGGTTGATGCTTTTCCTCACTTTTGGCTCCTTTCCCTCAGAACTCTTCTTGTTTCGTAAAGAACTATCTTTCTATAAAGAACCAAGAATTCAATAGTTAACTCAGACATGGATGATTTCAGAGTGTGCACACATAGTGGGAACTTGGCAAATAAACACCTGCTGCAGAAATAAATGAAACCCAGCCAAGAGAACCATAACATTCACTATCTGAAAAACTAACACAAAGGGTGAAGGTCTCCAAACACAATAGCTTCTTTATGGGTAAGGGGCATGATATGTGAAGTGGATGACTTTACAAAACAGAGTTTAAAATATTTGAAAATTAGTAAAAATAATTACCACTTCCAAAGTAGCCTAGAAAATAGGATTATAAGGTACTGGGCTGGCTAAAATGTCTGTAATGCTTTTTTCCATAAAATATGACACATTTTTCATTTTTGCCAATGACTTCATTGATTTGAGTATTTTCAGTATTTGGGCATCTCCTACTATTTGCTTCTAGTGGGTAGAGGCCAGGCAGGGGTGCTGCTAAACATCTTCCAGTGCATAACACAGCCCTACAAGCAAAGAACTGTTGGGTCAAAATGTCAATAATACCAAAAAACTTTGCAAATCACTTTTGACACACTCAATCAGTTACAGCACCTTCTCCATACACTGCACAAATCTGCTTTTGCATTTCAGTTGTATTTTTGCCTTTCTTGAAATAATAAAGCACAATACGCAGAAAATGTTGCATATCTTCTTCTACCTTCAATATTAAAATTCACCAATTTTGACGTTCTTTTTAAATGCACACTGATATGACAGTTGTCACAACACAATCTAATATTCAAACGAAGGTAAAAACAACTAAGCGCTACTGGAGCCACTGTATGAAAAAAAACCTGACAAACTTTTTGGCCAACCCAACACTTTATGAGCAACTTGAATTCTGTAGCAGCAGTGCTAATGGAGACTCTGAATCCTCTGCAAAATACTCTTTCCATAAGTAGTGCTTTTTTCAAGCTTGAGATAACTTCAGGGTAAAATTTTTACAATATTTAACTGACCCTGAAAAATATTTTCACATATGGCAACAGATCATCCACAGTAAGTCTTAAGCTGATTTCCTTAGTGTGTGCTAAAGTAAGAAAGCAAGGCCAACTCCTAGAGGAAGATATAATACCAGTGTCTGCTGCCTCAATTTAAAATATAAATGTATCTACAGTTATATCCAGATTCTCTAAATGAAACATTAAATATTCTTTATACTTTGTGATAACACAGTTATCTGGGGAAGCAATCCAAGTGGCCATCAATAGACTAGTGAATAAAAACTCTGTGGTACATATATACAATGGAATATTACTTAGCCATATAAAAGAATGAAATCTTCACATTTGTAACAGCATGGATGGACCTAGATGGTATTCTGCTGAGTGAAGTCAGAGCAAGAAAAATACCATATGATTTCACTCATATTTGGAATCTAAAGAATAAAATAAATGAACAAACAAAACTGAAACAGACTCATGGACACAGAGAACAGACTGATGGTTTCAAGAAGGAAGGGGAGTTGGTGAAAAAGGTGAAGGGATTAAGATGTGCAAATTGGTAGTTACAGAAGAGACAGTGATGTGAAGCACAGCACAGGAACTATAGTCAATAACACTGTAACAACTATGTATGGTGCCAGATGGGCACTAAAAAGATCAGGGGAGTGCTTTGTGAAGTAGTATGATTGTCTGACCACCACACTGTATACCTGAAAGTAACCCAAAATAATACTGAATGTCAAGCATAATAAAAAAATTTTTAAATGAAGTATTACATTTAACACTAAACATTTTATTTTAGGTCATATACACCTATGTGTATGTGAAGAATAAAAACTCTTTTGTGAGGGGTAATCTCTACTCAAAATTACTCATATAGTATAATGAAATAAAAGTTTTCCACAAGGTTACGCCAACTTCTTAGCTATATTTTCTTTACTTTGAGTTCAATACTTTCATGTCTTTGAGAAATTAGGCTGTGATAAAGTTATGCCCTGACATCAGTTTATATATATATATATTTAAAGATTTTATTTAGTTTTAGAGAAAGGGGGAGGGAGAGAGAAAAGAGGGAGAGAAACATCAATGTGTGGTTGCCTCTCACATGTCCCCTACTGGGGACCCAGTCCACAACCCAGGCATGTTCCCTGACTGGAAATCAAACTGGTGACCCCTTGGTTCATAGGCCAGTACTCAATCCACTAAGCCACACCCGCCAGGGACAGTTATATGTTTTCTACTTTATTTTTTCATATTCTTTATTACTGCTAGTTTTTGCTTTCTTTGGACAAATAGGCCTAATTTTGCAGAAGCATGCTTTGTAGATATTCAGTTATTCTTCTAGCCATGCATACACAAGTTTCCAAATGGAAAAAAATAAGAAATAAAAACCAACCAAAAACCACTGTGCCTTTACCATTTTGGGGGGTATGCACCTGTTTTCTCTACTGTCTTTCAGGAGAAAAAATACTGCAACCAATTTATTCCTCTGTGGTATAATTTTCCACCTTTTCTACCTCTAGACTGTCACACTGCTATCTGTAGTTGTGGTGAAAAGGAAGTGACACCTGAGCCATGATTTGAGCAGGAGTTAGCCAGGTGAGGGACAAGGGACGGGGGAACATACCACCAGAGGGTGCACTCTTAAGGTGAGATAATTTATTATTTTTAAGTAAATGAAATAAGGCCAGGGGTGGTAAGGTAAAACCCAGCAGGGGGCCAGTAATTCCACCCGCAGGTTGAATAAACAGTCAGACCCTGATGGCCTCACAAATATATGTTATCCTAACAAACGAGAAGCCACTCAAAGGTTTTAGGCAGAAAAGTTATATGCCCAATGTCAACATTATCACTCTGGTTGCAATGTAGGTAATGGGATGGAGAGAGCAAGAGGAGCAGTAGAAGGGCCAGTTAGGAAGCTATTAACCTTACACAGGTAGAAGTTACAGTAACTCAGAGTAGGACGTGGACAGAAAAAAGCAACCTGACTTTGTGAAGGGCTCAATGAATTAGGAGGGAAAGGATAAGGAAGAGGAAGGTGGTAAGTATGACCTTGGGTTTCTCTGGCTCAAGTACCTGGAAGGAGAGAGGGGTACTTACTAAGTGCAGAGCACTGGAGAAGGGCCAGAATGGGAATGGGACAGGAGATCCAAAGTTTGGTTTTGGACATGTTAAGATTGACATCCCTGTGTGACAGCCAAACATCTGGCAAAATCGGTGACATAATCCTAAAGTTCACAAATGGGGTCAGGACTGGGAATATAAACTGGTGAACCACTGATAAAATGTTTTTATAGACAGAGTCATCAGTAATCCTTCACATTTAAGACACTCTATTTTGAGGTGTGTGCTCTCTCTGACAGCTACAACCACAGAGACTGAGGGGGACTCAACCTCTACCTTCACGGTTTTGTTCTAGAAGGTTCTTTCTGTAAAATAATTTTTCTTGTCCCATTTCCCTACACCTTATTTTAAAACCAAAACCATTTAAAAAAACCACCAATACAAATTTTTAAAAAATGTTTTAAAGGAAAGAATGTTATTTGTATTAAAAATAAAAATAAAACAGAACCAAAGTCTCATGGAAACTAAAGAGAAAGTTAAGTAAAATAAGTCTTTACTATCTACTTTTTACTTAGTCTTGTTTTCCAGCCAGGTCCTACCACTCTAACTTTGACTTAGTATGTGTGTATGCCATTATTTTCATCCTACAGATATTTGCTTCACTCACTGTGTATGTATTTGCATGTTTATATATGCTTATATGTATACATATATAACATTCATATACATACAAATATACATACACACAGTCTTTTCCTTGAATGTAGGCTTATTCATAGAAAATAAGATGCAAGCTTCCAGAGGGCAGATATCACCCAGGGAAGCTGCCATAAAATATATCATTCAGTAGCTATTCCACAAATATTTCTGCCTGCTGAGGGTATCAGCAGCTACACAAATATATTGTAAACAATGATTCACCCACTTTTTGGGGTATTCATTTCAAGCTTTAAAGTCAATCTTTATGAACTTGAACTATCTTTTCCTGGGTTCTAGATTTAGAACTCTCAACTAAGGTAATTAATATATTATTTTATTATTATTTTGGGCCAAAAATGTTCTGGTATGGTAAAACTGTGTGACTGCATTCTAAAGATCTGTACTTTACATTGCCTCTATCTGTTCAAAATGTCTAACACACAGGTAAAGACACAGACATTTCACTGATTTGTTAGGAACTCACTGAATCGAGCATCTAAGAACTTGGTCTACAGGAAAGAGATCACTCCAGCAAATGTTGAAGGCATTGTCACTTGTTTATTAAGCATCTTGGAAATTTTTTAATGGCAGCATATGCTAAGAAAATATAACACGACAAATCCTACTCCTAACTCGAACACCCAATAGGCCACTTTGGCCATTTCTACTATTGAGTTTCTGCCTAAAGAATTGAAAGGAATGGCTGCAGACCATCAACTAATGACTTTCCTTCTCCACCGTACATGACAAACAGGCTCTGAGCTGATTTCTAGCAAAAGCAAGACATAATTTTTTACTTTGTTTACTGAAGAAAAGAATAAATGTATTATTTAGGATAATACAATTTTAACAATAAGTCATAGAAAGGAAATTTCAGTTTATTGGTCTAGTTGTTCCTCTGACATCTATTTGAAAGGTCAATTTAGAAATGCAACAAAAGCACAGAACTGCTATAAATCTATCATCTATAGTTTCATATATTAGAAAAGATTATTGATATTTTGAGTTAGTTTTTAGTTGTTAACCTTGTATTAGATTTTTTAGTCATTTTCAGCAACAATTATCGCCTTTCATGCTAATTCAGTAGAATGAACAGATGGAAACATTAACCATTGAAAAATATTAGCACATAGAGACAGCCATACCACTGGATGCAGAGAAAAATTATTAAAGTCATGCTAAGCTTTAGCTATAATAGCTAGAGAATGATTTTGACAGGAAAATATTATAGACATTCTTGTTTAACAAGGCATACAAGGAATTCGGATCACAGGACAATACACATTAGATTACTACATGTTTGCATAATATAAGCCAAGCTATAAGCACGTAACAGAAGCAGCACAGGAAAAAGGATTCTGTTTTGCAAGAAAATTTCAAAAGCAAAGGATAGCACAAAGGAAATACCTTCAGATCTCGCCTCTCCAGATGCAAAAGTTCAGCCCCTCTGATGTCATGACGGATGAAGATTTCTCTGTACTCTCCCAAATTGATCAGATCCAGCCAAGCAGCAACTTCCTCTGTGCCCCATTTCTGAACTACCAAAGTTAAGAGCAAAACCCCCTTAATTTCTACATGCTCAATGCATTACAAAGCAAAGGCTGGCCAAAGAAGATGCAAATGGAGCGGCAGTGCTAGCAAAGGGAAAGGTTAAAGGTGTTTCAACAAAACTATGATTCCATTTTTTCCCATGCAGGTCAACACAAGGATCACAAAGACATTCACTGCAGTGCACCTGTGCCCTTGGCTTCAGCTCAATTTCCTCCTCAAAGCCCCCAAACTACATAGCATGTATAAAAGATGGATTTCTCATGATTAGGATCAGTAGTATAAGGTCTAAATAAATTCTGATGATTTTCTTAAGACCATGTATGAAACTGGTTATAGTTGAATTAGCTACAAATGTTAATTAAAAGTAAAAATCTAACACAGGGTACTCTAAATTTTACACTAACTTCTGTCTCAGGTCTTGCTGACTTTAGCACCACCTTTATTGATTCTATTACTATTGACAGTTATAAAAATAAATGTCCTGTTAAGTTGGTTTAATATCATCTAATAATGGTCAATACTACTCTCTGAGATTAACTGGTTTGTTATTTCTCGGTAGGTATACTCGGTCTTTTATATATTTTATTCAGCACTGATTAGCTTGAAAAATCCTACTTATTTGCCATATTTGGTTTTAAAATGCCACTTAACAGCTACTCTATGATTGTCAAAAATCAGGTTATAAATCACTTTTGAAAAGGCAATAGCTAGCTCAGAAAAATTAGAGATTGATTTGATTGCGAAAGGTATATATCATCATATACACAGAACTTAGAGGTGCTTTAGCACGAGTACAGCATTAAAATGAATCACTAGGTGAGTGGGAAGTGAACTAGAAAGACAATTTCAAAGAGAGAATTTCATCTTTGCTTGAGAATGCAAATGTCACACTACTGCCATTACTGAGGGGCTGAAATGGTGTAGTAAGTCCTAAAAACAGGAGAAAGAAAATACGGAACTTCAGGTAGAAAATACATTTAGCAAGCTAAAGGAATATATTAAAGTTTCCATGTTCCATGCATTGAAATGATCTAGATTTTGAGCTCTGAAGATGAAAAGCAAGTTATGCACGATGCTTTGAATTGCTGTTGAGCAAGACAGAGACCATGTAAACAGAGGCACTGACACCAGAGCAGCAAATCAGCAATTACCTCATTTTCTTATGTGTTTCATAACTACTAATTCCTCTGATATTTGTACAGATTATAGGTACAATATAACTGCAGTAAGACCAACATTAAATAGAACTCACCACTTCAACCATTTTATAGTGGCATGTAGCACATTCAAAATGATGTACAATGATTGCCGTTATCTGGAACATTTGATCGCCTCAGTGCTGTCACTTCAGTGTTATTTTTCCTTATGTTATACAAGCTCCTGCCCCTACCATTGTGGACCACCTACCAGGCTGTGAGCTTGTCTTCTGCTTTTGCACCTTTTCCTTTTTAAATTTTGGTACTATACGAAATACTGTGCTTCTGCTGTTTCTCTTGGTGCAATCCATAGGGGGCTCCTGTTCAAGTAGAGCAAGAAAAGAATTTTTTCAGGGTAGTAAGAGAAGAAAAACCCACTCTAAATATTAGAGATAACACAGGAATAGGTTAGAAACACAAAACGTTGAAGTGGTAACTTCTTCCAAGAAGTTCACAATGTTATATATTGCTAAAAATGTACTGATCCCATAAGTTACTTGGTTCGCATAAAAGCCTTTTCTTGATTGTTCATGAACAGTACATTTAAAAGTGACATTCAAAGTTTATTTTCCTCTGACTATGTTTTAACAAAAGATGGGTTCAAATTCTATCATTATAAAGTCTGCATTTATATATAAAGAAACAGGCTGAATTTCACATACCTCATCCTCATTTGGGTGTAAGATATAATAGAGCCAGGGAATCTCTGTTAATTTCTGTAACTCCACCTCCACAGAGTGTAAGGCACTGGATACCCGCTCTTCATGTGGAGATTCCAACTGCTATTCACCAGCAGATTAAAAAGAAAACAAAACAAGGCTCAGTGCCCAACCTCAACTGGAATTATTTCATTTGATAATGAATACCTTCATCTCTTATTAGGCTAGGCTAGTTGTTATCATGGTAGTTGTTTTTAATATAAATAAATATTTAAAAAGAACAAATGATCTTATACTGGGTTCACTGAAAAAAATCTAGATAGATTTATCCTTCCTTTCCATGATATAAGCTAGTGTGACTTTTGCTTTAGTGAGTAATCTCATATTTGTGGAAAAATCCTTCTAGATAATTGGATAAACAAACAACAATACTTTAAAAAGTAGTAGAAAATACATTACATAAAAAGAACTGCATGGTATAAAAATCTCCTGGAAAATGAAAATAATAAGTTTAAGGGAAAAAAACACCTCATAAATCTCAGAAAAATTTGTGATGAAAAGCTGATGTGATGAAAGTGAGCAAAGCAAAAACCTAAATAGCTTGTAATCTGGAAGAAGGTTTGTAAACTTTAAAAAGAATTTAACTGGTCACCTATTATCTCCCCACTCAAAATAGTTATTAGAAAGCACTTATAAATTCAATAAATGAAAAAAGGTAAAATAGACATGGGTGTGTAAGGAAATGGAAGGGAAATGGCTGAATCCTGGTCCTGGACTTGTTACTAATTTGCAACCAATGGAAGGTTAATTGATTTCAGAAGTCTTAGTTTGCTTCTCAATAAACAGTAGAATATGAGTAGATTATTTCTAAGGTCTCTTCCAGTTAATCAGTATTTTTATAAATTACTTTAAAATTGTAGAGTACCACATATAGGTTTCACAGAATTTTAAAATGAAAGTTCAAAGAAAATGTTACTGTTATTATGGACATTATATTTTCCCTTGTTATTTAAGATATCTACCATTTCTTATAGTTAAAAACATGGAGATTCTCCAGCCTGTCATATAAAATTTAGCACTTTCCTTTCAGTCTAAAAATATATCTCTTACAAAAGTGATAAAATGGTGATTGTATATTCATTCTAGAATCAAAATAAAGAGTAAACCTTAGCCCTGGCTGGTGTAGCTCAGTGGATTGAGCGCCGGCCTGCGAACCACAGGATCGCGGTTCGATTCCCAGTCAGGGCACATGCCTGGGTTGCAGGCCGGTTCCCTGAAGGCCAGTTCCCAGCAGGGGACGCACAAAAGGCAACCATACATTGATGTTTCTCTCCCTCTCTCCTTCCCCCCTTCCCCTCTAAAGCTAAATAAATAAAATCTTTAAAAAAAAAAAGAGTAAACCTTAGTTGCTCTCAAATACAATTGACTCTTTATGGTGATAACAACATTGTCAAAAATAAATTTGATGAAATTTAGTGGTGTACATTTTAAGTTGAACGTCCATTTTCTGACAATGACAGAAGCCCTGAAAGTGGAGGGGAGGGGGTCCTTCTATATTAAAATAATATAATTGATAAATATTAACCAAATAAGACTCCATAGACACTTTCAGTATAGAGAACTAAAACACAAAATAAGTTAGGCTTCCAGTTCTTGTCAATCAGAAATCACGTTAAATGTACTTCAGATAACACACAAAAAATACATGTCCTCTGCCCAAAAACTGAGACCAAAGTCACAGCTCACTAGATTTCCTATAGGGCTAATTTTAGAAGAGCAGGAAGAAGGTCTGGTTGTTAATAGAAGTATCAAGAATAGCCAAGATTCCCACTGACCCTATCAAAAGATATAACCAATGTTTCTTCCTACAAGTTTTTCTTCATGGCCACAGCAGAAGCAGTCACCTCTCGTGTTAAGGAAGCTGTATTTCAGTTGCCTTTGGAGGTGGGTGAAAGCAATGCACATCATGTAGCCTTTCAGCTTATCTTCTCAGAGTAAGGGATGCATCTGATGGATGCTCTGCTGAACGCCAATCAAACAGAAATTCCAAATACCGTCACTGGTTAGCTAGACTATGTGACATACCTCCCCATTTTTTCACTGTGCTACAGGTACTGTGACTTCTATTACTTTTATTTAAGTATTTATTTTCCAAAGTAAGACATAAAATTACAGTCAAGAGAAATGTTTTAAGAGCATCACCTATAAATTAATCAGAATTGTTACACTGTACAAGGAAGAAAATTAGGCTTTCTATAGCTACAACAGCATGTGTGAAAACCCATAACTGAACACTAGGTGGCGAAAAGGCCCAACATGCTAGAAAATTTGAAACCAGTGAGGGAATAGAGGCTGACAAGACAAACCAAACAGAACACTTATTGTCTTCTAGCACTTAAGCTTGAGGTCCATGAACTGTGGTCAAATGCAGACTTGGCCTTGATGTCCAGCACCAATCTGAGTTAATCTAGGAATATGGCTACTTCTTGAAATTGTTTTTGAAATGCTGAGTCTAGAAAGTGTCATCTTTTAAGCAAATCTAGAAAATCACACCAATCATATTTAAAATGTTAATTTTGAGAACAAACCTATGGTTTCCTCTACTTTTCTGCAGTAAGGAGTTAATGATAACTGAGGAATGTCTACTACCTTTCATAAACCTCAAGTCTCTTGAAACTGACTATGGACAGCAGGACTGCCTGAAAACGTTGGCGTACATGAGGGGAAGTCTCCTGTTAGCTTAAATCATAGCCCCCAGGTTTAGCCTTTTCTTTTATTAAAGGCAAAAGTTAGGTAACAAGACAGCTGTACGGTTGGGGGTCAGAAGGCTGCTTCTGTGCTTCCTAATCAAGGAAAACCCCACACATTCAACATAACTGTTATGTGACCAGTCATTTCTTTTCCTTACCAAAGGAACTCTGCCGACTAGTAAAGATTCTGTTTCATTATATAGTGCCTTCACATTGATGGCTATTTCAGTGGCAGTGTCTCTGGTAAGACTCTAGAAAAAAAAAATCAAAAGCAAGTAGTTTTGTTCTAAACTGGATTTAATCATCACAAATACTTTAAATTTTATTATTCCAATTTAAATTCACATCACAAATATTTTTAAAAATCTACCAAAGTTCTATTATAACTGCACAATTTCACAGTCATGATTATCAGCATAATTACTCTTCTAATGCTGGTATGCACCGAGTCTAGTGACTACGCCCAGCACCACGTCTCCCACATACAAATATGTACATGCTGGCAACAGTATCTAAACATATTCCCATAAAAAGTTAAGTCAAAGAACAGTGTTTTAAAAAGGGCATTTTCATCATCTGGTCATAATTAGTTCTACCTATGTCTTTTAATACTTTTAGTAGTCTGCAACCAGACTACTTTTTAGACTATAACCCAAAGGACTAGCACATTTGTATATGATGGGAGACCCCCTCAAAATCCCCAAATTTATTTATTAAAAATTGTGTAGTTATTCTTGCATGTTTAAACGTCAGTCACCTTCAAAGTGCCCTCCATTTGATGCAATACAGCTATCGAGATGTTTTTCCCATGCTCAAAACAGTTTTTGAACTCATTGATTTTGATGCTTTTTAGTGCTTCTGCCATTTTTTGTTTCACCCCTTCACACTAGCAAAATATCTCCCTTTGAGGACTTTTTTCATCTGAGGAAACAAAAAGAGCTACGTGGGGTTGAAATCAGGTGAATAGGAGGATGGGGCACAGGGGTCAGGCTGTTTTTGGCTGAAAACTGCTGAATACTCAGTGTGGTGTGGGCGTGTGTGCTAATAAATCACCCATCAGGCAATGGACGAACACACTGAAACAGTCTTCGAAAAAATTCACTGAGGCTGAATGCAGTCTCTCACAGCAATGCTAGCTGGTATATCAATACAGATGGGTTCCCAAGCACTCACCTAGTGAGGGAAGCCTATATACTATAAGGGGCCCTACCTCCAGAAGATAATCCAGTTTTTTTGGGTCCCCTTGTATTAATATAGTTAACTTCAATTGAATAATTAAAGTAATAAAATAATGTTATCCATTTTCCATACACTATAGCCTTTATAATATATATTTCAAAGGAGTTATAGCCATCTATTATTCTATAAAAATTTACTTTCTACATTAAAAATTTACTAAATTCATTCAGTAAAATAAAGTGAAATGAAAATAATATCAGCACACAACTTCAAAAATGAATAAATATCTTTAATAAAATGCATGATATCTAGGTTTATTCTATACCTAGGTACAGGGGAGAAGGTAAAAGAAGAAGAAAGGAGGGATGGTAGCAGTTAGAAGAAGAAAAAGTAGAAGGAAGATAGTGAGGTGACAAGTGATGGAAAATGAAGTAGAAAACATGAAGAGAATGTAAGAGTAGGAGTAGAAAAATGGCAGAAAAAAGAAAATAAAAGAAAAATTTGGCCACAAACTTATCATAAGCTCTGACATAGATTCATCTAGACTATATACTGCTCCTTCAAAGTGCACATTTTATAGTATCAAAATATACATGTAACACCAAAAAATCTGTGGAATGAGGTTTACCATTAGCTCCTCACCTCTGGGAACTGAGGGTTGGCTTTATTCAGTGCATGGGAGCAGGCATTCACTGCGTGGGCCAGTTCTTGCTCCAAAAGACAGTGGATTGTGGCAGCATCACAAATCCTGAAAGAAAAACCAAAACAAATGAACACAACACTTTTTTGAGCATTGCTGATTTTTCTGAAGCATGGAAGTGATAAAATAAAAACAGGATGAAAAAAAAAAAAACACATCAAGGGGCCCTGGCTGGTGTGGCTCAGTGGATTGAGCGTGGGCTGTGAGAACCAAGGGGTTGCTGGTTTGATTCCCGGTCGGGGCACATGCCTGGGTTGCAGGCCAGGCCCCCGGTGTGGGGGTACATGGGAGGCAACCACACATTGATGTTTCCCTCCCTCTTTCTCCTTCTCTTTATCTCTCTCTAAACATAAATAAATAAATGTTTTTAAAAATAAGTTCTTAAAAAAAACATTAAGGGGAACTTTAAAAAAAATGACTTCGATTATGAATGGCACAGGGTAGATTTACAAAATTCAAACCCCATCTCAACAAAGAATATTAAACCAAAAATCTTTATATAAGAAGTTGGCTTAGAATGAGAGATAAATATATCAAGCTGCTATGTGGAAAAACAAAATATAGTCACATTTGATTTTGCAGTATCATTAGAAGGTGAGACGGGTCCCAAATGTAGACAGTAGAAACTTATTTTTCATTCATTGAAACTTCAACCAGGAGCAAATACAACAGATTAGGGGAAGAACATTGCCACATCTATCATCAACACGCTAAGTACTTTATATGTATTATCTAATTTAATATTCATAACATAAAAGATAGCTGTGACTTTCTCCACTTTATAGATGAAGACATCTATAAAGAGAGTCAGAGAGAGTTAGTAATGTATACAAAGCTAATAATAAGTGACAGAGTCAGAATCTGAATCTATGACCACCTAACTCCAAAGGCTGGTCTGCCACAATCTCTGCACTTGCAACCTTCAAGAATAGTCCTATGAAGACAAAATCCTGGAGGGCTCTAAGGCCAAAGAAGAGAACCGAAGAAAAGTTCTACCAACTGCTACAAAAGGTAAGGGTTGCAGATGAGCAAGAAGGCAAGACTATTCAAACCCTTTTTGCTTCTCACATCTTCAAAGAGAATGATTTTCAATATGAAAAAAGTAGGACAAAAGAAGAGACAGAAGTCCTACATAGTTGAATCAAGAGTAAAGGAAAAGAGTTTAATTCCTAAGGATCATGCAATTGATATCCAAAGCCTAAATGAAGTTGCAAATGTCACCTCAGCATTCTTACCAAAAATCCAGGGAAATCATAAAGAACAGGCTGTTTATCAGAATAGAGATGGGTAAATGTTCTAATTTCCAAAGAAAGTTAAAGTGGTAAAACAACTCCGACCAACAATTCTAAGTGCCAGTGAAATCTCCTGGATGTTTTCAACATAACTGAAATTCTCTAAGTCTAACCTGGAACCCATCTGTCATTTTCTCTCAAAATCTGCTCCTTTTTCTGAATACTATGGCTTAATCAAAGGCAACACAGTCCATCCAGCCTTTCACTGGAAACCTCAGGGCTATTGTGTCTCCTAATCCACACTCATGTACTAATTTTAGATCCCAACTTACCTGAAATCTCTCTCCTCCTTCCCATGTCTCCTGCCTCAATCCATGTTTCCTAAGGACAATTCTGACAGCATTCACCCTGCCTCAGGTTTGCTGTGCTGCAGACAGTGCTCCACATTGCTTCCAGAAATGCCCTGATAAAGCTGTGGCCCCTCCTCAGCCCCTTCCACATTTGCTCACCTGCAAATGTACCAGCCATCACTTCAATCACCCCGAATTCCCTGAGGTTTCCTGAAAGTGTCAAGTACTCCCACTCTTCTGGGCCTTTGCCCAGGCTGGCTCCCAGGCTTAGCTTGCTCCTTTCCCACTCTTCTTTAAAGACTTGGCTGAGAGGTCACTTCCCCCAGGCAGCCTCCCTCACTGCCTCTGGCCTCCTCTGTACAACTATAGCACCCACTATGCAACCTATGACAACACTCCAGCCACACTTCTCCCTCCCAATACTCTGCCTACAAACTAGGAGGGACTGCAACACAGTTACCTCAGCATTCCCAGTGATGAAACTGGTGACCAATGCAGAGAAGAGGCTAAAAATACGTGTTAAATACGGAATGACTAAATTCTGAGAATTGACGAGTGAGTCTGATTTTCATCATTTGCAAAAAAACAAAACAAAACAAAACAAAAAACAGACATAACCAAATTAGGTTGACCAAAACCAATTCTGGCCAAGCTGTACTTCCTTTTTTTATAAGGTTATTTGGTTTGGTTGACAGGATGATAATATAGGAAGCATATTTTGGTTTCAAGGGAAGATATTTTGATTTTAAGAAAATGATGTAGTTCTATTTTTAATTTGCTGAGGAACCGCCATACTGTTTTCCATAGTGTATTAATTGGCTTGACTGTGGCAACCATCTTACAGTACATGTATATATCAAATCACCACACCGTATACCATATATATGTATAATTTTTATGTCAATTATATCTCAATAAATCTGGGGAAAACACAGTTAATTGGAGACTACAGATATTGTCTATAGCATCTAAAAGATGCATTTACTCTAAAATCTCATAGCTCTGTGGCTAAGAAGCTAAGTGTACAATAATGCAGTTATGACTTTAGCTGACTGTTTATTTTCCCTACATTTCTTCTAAGCTTCTCAGTATCTGGCAATTATCATACATTATTCTAATTTTGAATGTTGGTCTCTAGCAGTGGGGAGAATATATACTTAAAAAACCCAAATCTTTAAAATCAGGTACATTCTAGGTGTCTAACAAATATTTAAAGAGAAGAGTAAGGAGTAAGAGAAGGAGAGCAGACAGTGGGTAGGAGGGAGGAAAATGAAGTCAGTAAGCCCCTAGTGTACCAGAGCTTTGTTTTTCTTCTTTTTCAACATTTTAATGAGTAACCACATGAACGTGTGGAAAGAATATAATAGCTAGCATTCAGAGAACACAAAATGTGCCAGACAGTGATATGTGATAATAAGCACTATACACAGCGGGTCTCATTTAACATTCACAGTGGCCTGGTAAGGCAGTGCTTAATTATTCCCACCTGTCCACATTCCCCCCTCCCCTTAGAAGGCTACTTCCTGGTCATAGTGATTTTTATCGGGAACTTGTTATTTTTATCCTTTCCCTTTCTGTCCACCAAAATTAATTTCTGTATGGTCTCTCAGTCTCTGTAATTAGTCTATTGGAAACTGATTCTTAGACTCTTTCCCTACCTCCCCAACTCTTCTTGGGAGCAATTTCCTTCTACATTCTATCAATATTTAATTAATCATTAATTATAAGGTGATACAGAAGTCAGTAAAGATTGCATATAAACTGCTGGGTAAATAATAACAGAAAGAGTACTGTGTGGTAGGGTACGTTAGGCAAGCTCTCCACTATGTTTCAAGAAGTCTGATGTCTGTGAAGAACACAGGTTTAAGTATGTATGTATTAGAGGGGAGCCAATGAAGGAGAACAGTAAGCAATGAGGCAGAAAACGAAGGAGAGTAAATGCATCTCTTTTACATACTCCAAACAACTGAAATGATGTATTAAAAATAATAAAACAAAATTGGCCAACAGCAGCGTCCTCATGGTCCACAAGTGGGCAGGACCACCATACCTTGTAATGAGCTCCTCCGCAGCCTGGGAGCACAGCTGCATCTGTGACACCTCCTCCGTGGCCAAATCAACAGCATGTTGGATGTACAAATGGGTTCGAAGAACTGGTTTATCAGAATCACACTTCTGTTTCTCTTCCCAAGATTTTAGAGTGCTTTCAAAAGCCTATTTAAAGTCAATATTACAATGAACTGTTGGTTTAGAGCTCTGAGACCCTAATAAATGTGTATTTAGATATATGAATGACTTTGAAACTACTGTTTTTTCCCAATCTAACACATCATTAAATAAACCATGAGTAGAAAAAAGTTTTTCAGTATACATAATAAAAAGCGATGTATGTAATCAATTATGAATAAATATTACTAAAAAGTTAGAAAAGGACAGCTTTAATCTTTATTATGTGTAATAGGATGGACATTTGTAGTCTTATTTGTTATGTGCGTGACTTTAATTAAAAATGCATGTTCTGGAAAAAGCAAAACTACAGATAGTGTAAAGGTCGGTGTTGCCAGGGGCAAGGGTAAAAAGTGGAGGAAAGGATGGGTGGGGCATAAGAGATATTTAAGGCAGTGAAACTACTCTGTCATCCTGAAATGTGGACAAGTGACTGCTCATTTGTCAAAGCCCACAGAATGCACAGCAGAAACAGTAAACTATAAATTTCAGGTAGTATCAATATTAGCTCATTGGTTATAATAAATGCACTAATACCAGATTCTAATAATAGGGGAATTCATTGGCTGTCCAGGTGATGAGATATGTGGGAATAGAATTAGAATTCTCTGCACTTTCTGTTCAATTTTTTTTGTAAACCTAAAAAAAATTAGTCTATTTGTTTTTTTAAAAGACTAAATGTTCTTCATATTTAAAACCACCATGACTTAACTGTAAGATTTAAAAGACAATTTAAATCTTTTTCCTTGCTTTCTACTTTAATATGACAATTTAAGATTTTTTTTTAAGAAGCCTTGATAAAAATCTAGAGGAATGTTCTTGGCTACATACCCTGTCCCTTGTTAGCATCTGAGCTCTGTTTTTGTGCACGATTTTGATAATCCCTGGAGGCTGAACCCATGCTTCGCCATCCACCTGCACTGGGACTCCCTCATCGCCAAATATAGTGATTTTTACTGTACGGCACTGAAACAAAACACATTATTTTAGAGTACAAATCATCCTGAAAAAACTGACATAAAATCTGCATTCAAACTTGACCTTTAGTCCACAATGTGGAACAGTATGTTAGGCTTTTCCACTGTGATGACATAGTAATAACTGACATGGGAGAAAGTCGGTATTTTTTAGATGAACATGCGGTGCAGGAGCCATGGGAAATAGTCTCCCCAGTGTCCTACACAGGGGAGGCGGCTGGATTAGAAAAACAAACCTGAGCTATCCGATGATGCTGTAGTTTAATGACCCTTGAAACCGCCATTTGAACACTATCAAATACTGCAACGACTTCCAGGATCTTGTCATCGAATGAAGGTGCAGCAAATATCTGAGAGAAAAAAACTACGTTACGCTTCCACTAATAAAATTAAGGTTTAAGTAAAATGGCACATCAAGCAGTATGAACTCTGTGATACATATATTTTTTAAAAATCATGAAAATACTAAGAAAAGTAAGTATTAGTAGGAAATGATAACCCCAGAACAAAAATATCACTGAAGATGGCTTCAAACAAACAAACAAACAAACATGATAAAAATAGGTTTTGGGACCCACATGACATCATATTCACACCACTCATGGTATAAAATGTATTAAAAATCTTAAAGATAATTCAGATGTCTTGAGAAAATGATGCATACAATTTTCAGAAACCTAAAAGGTAATATAGATTTCACAAGGTTAAAGCTACATGAACATGCTGATTATGATCTAGTTTACTTGGTATGTTTTTTTAATTGATTTTAGAAAGAGGGGTGGAAAGGAGGGGGAGGGAGAGAGAGAGAGAGATATCATTTGGTTGTTCCACTTATTCACACATTCATTGGTCAATTCTTGTATGTGTCCTGACTGGGGACTGAACCTACAACCTTGATGTATTGGAACAGTGTTCTAACCAACTGTCTTCTTACCAGGGCTGCTTAGTGTGGTCTGAGGGAAATCTTTCAAGGTGTTACAAACAATATGTATATGTGTTTTATATCTTCATACAACTCTTTAGAGCATTTGACAATATGAACATGGAAACCTCAGGGAATAAAAATCATGTACGCTTACTTTATTTTGATGTTAATTGCATTTTCAAAAAATTCACCTAAAATTTTAAAATTTCACATATTTTATTCTCTTTTACTTTTTTTACTATATCATAAATAACTATGCCTTTGAAAAAATTATTCAGTACAAAGTAGCATCCTAATTAAAACTTTCACTGAAAATATCAGGATACAAATTTGCAGACATATTTCTTATCATTTTTTAAAACCAGACTGCTTAGTTTTAAACTATGTCTCTGTTACTTATTAACTGTGTAAATTTAGTGTGAGTTCTTTAACTGAAAAATTTTACATGAAAATTCTAGGTATTAAACAATAAATGTGTAGCACTCAGAACACTGACTGCCTAGGAAGTGTTCAAGGAATGTTAGCTTTATTCATCTTAGTATCACTGATTTCTTTCCCTTAAAATATTTAAGAATAGTGACAGGCTGACAAAAAACTGATGGCTGATGTTAGTTTTTATACACCAACAGGATTGGAATACATTCACATCATGAAAATTACAAATGCTTTCCAATATATTTCATATTTTAGTTCCTGGCTGTTTACTTAACAGCTCTGAGAAGATGGGTCAGTGGAACTGTTACATCATAAACCTCAAATCAAAGGTCCTATCATTTAATGTATGTGACTCTTCAGACAAAGATCATGATAACACCACTCATTTTTATGTTATATATACTTTAATAATTGTGCCTTCTCTTTTTAAAGGTTATTTTCAGAACAATTAGCTTTATTAGGTTGTGTGTTTTTTAAATATAGAAGACCATGAAAACATAACAAAAATAGCCACCAACCACAATGGCCAAATGAACCCTCTTGACATTCCTAAAAATAATTTAAAAAATAATATCACATAAATTTAGAAAACTAAAAGTACAGAAAGGTATTCTGGTGGGCAGAATAATGTTCCTGTCCCATCCCCAAAATGTCCACGTCGTAATCTCTAAAACCTGTGAATGCTGTCTCATCACACGACAAAAGAGACTTTGTAGACATGATTAAACTGGAGACCTTGAGACGGGAAGATGATCCTGGATGATGTGTGTGGGCCCAATGTATTCACAATGGTCATTAAAAGTTTAAGAGGGAAGCAGAAGAGATCAGAATGATGCAATGTGAGAAAAACTCATGCTGCTTTTGTTGTCTCTAAAGACAGGAAGGTGCCACAAGCCAGGGTCTATGGGCAGTCTCTAGAATCTGGAAGATGAAGGAAATACTTACATCATCCTCTTTAGTTCCACCCCAAAAGTTAGTGCCTCCAGCATAGCTGGGGATGTTCAATACTGCTATTCCTTGCAGACTGGGGAGAGGAATATATTGTCCATCACACTGTAAGGTAAAAAGCTTAGAAGTTAGATAAAAAGAGTAAAACTACTAGTTTTGAAGTCACCAGTATACCAAAGAAAAAGGTGATGGACAAAAGTGTGCTGGTAATGTATGTTTTCCTGTAAATATATTCCTACACATTATTTTTATCTTACTTGGTTTTAATTTTAAAAGTTTTGAAGTATAAACAACTATAGCAGAATTTTTTACAGAAAACCATGCTGAATAAAAGAAGATTTTACCTCTTCTTTCAACCAAATTCAGGCAGTACCTTTCTGGAGCTTCTTTTTCAGGTCAGTTATGATATTCTCACTTACATTATGGTCATTCTGGTCTTTATCTTAAGCATCCTATTGCAAGAGGCCACTGTGAGGGTAGACTCTGAATCCTAACCATCTCATCTAGCACCTCTCACAAATCCTGGTATTTTGGTGGTACTCTGTTACTAACCAGTGACTAGTTAACTCAAAAATGAATTTTTAAGTATCAGAACCAAAACCAAAAAAAGAAAAAGAACTCAAGAAGTATCTTATAGTCTATGCCTCTTTTACTCAGATAAAAATTACACTACCACTTTAAAAAGAAAGAAGTCAATTATTATACATGACATGAATAAATTCTCACTAAATACAGGGTTTAAGCCTTCATTTTAAAAGTAAAGGGCTTGCAGATGCTATACTTAAAATACATGCTATATTTTCATTAAATAATTTTTACACTGACACTAAAAGTAGTTAACAGAACTTTATTAGAATTGCATTTTAATGCCCAATCAAAATTATCTGCTATCTTTAAAACATGTAAGAATCCAGTTTCAAACCATTTTTTAACCATTTGAAATAACTGGGAATACATTATAACTGATTTACACCACAGGCATTTAAAATTTTTTCCTTTCTTCACTTCTGCATGAAACACAATCAAAGGTCCACACTGTATCCCAGCAGGTAGGGCCATTCCTGGCACCACAGCTGGTGCTCAGTGTATGTCAAATGAAGAAACATTAAATATTTAGAGGAACAGTATCTTTCTCTGGACCCAATATTCTTAACAGGCATCCTTGTGTTCTTTAGAAAGAGTTGAATTATATAACTAACTTAAAGGAGATGAAAACATCTATCATTATTAAACACAAAGAAGTACTTCAAAGAACAACTGAGAGCGATCCTAAAGATTCTATAATAAAGGTCATAGACAAGTGTGATAAGCCCACAGCTAACACAATATTCCAATTGAAAAGCTGACAGCTTTTCCTGTAGGATTACAAACAAGACAAGGCTACTCTATCAAATAACTGTTACAACAATGAATTTAATAAAGTTGCATGATACAAAATCAATATACAGAAATCTGTTGCATTTTATATACTAATAATGAACTATAAGGTAAAAGAAATTTTAAAAAATCCCATTTACAATAGTATCAAAAAGAATCAAATACTTAAAAATAAATTTAATCATGGAAGTAAAAAACCTGGATATTGAAAAATATGCCCTGACTTTGCTCTTTGGTATATGCCCTCAGTGGAATGGGCATTGTACCAAAGAACTAAAGATTCCCAGTCAGGGCACAGGCCTGGGTTGCAGGCCTGGTCCCTATTTGGGAGCATGTGAGAGGCAACCAATAGATGTTTCTCTGGCACATCAATGTTTCTCTCCCTCTCTCTCTAACAATAAGTAAATAAAATCTTAAAAAATTGATTTCTGCTGTCTTTAAGAAAAAAAAACAAAATTAGAAGACTTTGAGGAAGGAAATTGAAGAAGACGTACATAAATGTAAACATATTACATGTTTATGGATTAAAAGAATTAATATTGTTAAAATGTTCATACTACCACTCCGGCAGGTGGGCTCAATGGATGGAGTGCTGTCCCGTACACTAAAAAGTTGTGGGTTTGATCCCTGGTCATGGCACGTACAGGAGGCAACCGTCAATGTTCTCTCTCATGTCAATGTCTGTCGTCTGTCCTCTTCTCTCTCCCCTTCTGTCCCACCCTCCCTCTCTCCTTCCCTTTTTTCCTAAAATCGAAGAGCTTGTCTTAGGGTGAAGATAAAAAAAATAAAAATGAAAAAAAATTCATATTACTCAGCCCTGGCTGGTGTAGCTCAGTGGATTGAGCGCGGACCTGGGAGCCAAGCAACCACGGTTCGATTCCCGGTCAGGGCACATGCCTGGGTTGCAGGCCAGGTCCCAGCAGGGGACACACCAGAGGCAACCATACACTGATATTTCTCTCCCTCTCTCCTTCCTTTACCCTCTAAAGATAAATAAATAAAATTTTTTTAAAAAAAATTCATATTACTCAAAGTAGTCTATAGATCTGATACAATCCCTATCAAAATCCCAATGTATTTTCACAGAATTAGAACAAATAATCCTAAAATCTGTATGTAACCATGAAAAACCACAAAGAGCCAAAGCAATCTTAAGAAAGAAAAAAGCTAGAGGCACCATGCTGTCTGGTTTCAAACTATATTAAAAAGCTATAGTAATTAAAACAGTACGGTATTGGCATAAAAAAACACATGAATCAATGGAACAGAACAGAGGACCCGGAAATAAACCCATGCATATTTGGTCAATTAATTCACAAAAAAAGAAGCCAAGAATATATAATGGGGGAAAGGACAGTCTCTTTAATAAATAGTGTTGGGAACATTGGAAGTCACATGCTTCCAATGAAGCAATGAATGAAACTGGACCACTATATTATACAATACCATACCAAAAATGAATTAATAATAAATTAAAGACTTGAACACAAGACCTAAAACCATAAAACTCCTAGAAGAAAATGTAAGTGGTAAGTAAGCTCCTTGACATAGGTAGTGGTAATGAATTTTTGAACCTGACACCAAAATCCAAAGCAACAATAGCAAAAAGGATAAAACAAACAAAAAACCCCCAACAAACACAAAACAAACATTGTAACTATGTCAAACTAAAAACCTCTCCACTGAAACGGAAACTACCAAAAAAATGAAGAAGCAACCTACTGAATGGGAGAAAATAATTGCAAAGCATATATCTGATAAGGGAATAATATCCAAACTATATACAAAAAACTCACACCTCAATAGCAAAACAAACAATCTGATTAAAAATGGGCAGAATATCTGAATATAGACATTTTTCCTAGAAGATATAAAGATGGCCGAAATGTACATAAAAAGCTTCTCTATATCATTAATCATCAGAAAAATGCACTCAAAACCACAACATTACTTCACAACTGTTAGAATGGCTATTATTAAAAAAGATGAGAAACAGTGTTGGTGAGAATGTGGAGAAAAGAGAATGTGGAGAATGTGCACTGATGGTGGGAATGTAAACTGGTGTAGCCAACGCGATAAATGGGATAGAGGTTTCCCCCAAAATTAAAAATAGAACTACCATATGAGCCAGCAATTCCACTTCTGGAATTTATCTGAAAAAACGAAAACACTCTTTTGAAAAAAAATATGCATTCCCATATTCACCACAGCATTATTTATAACAGTCAAGATATAAAACACCCTAAGTGTCCATTGATGAATAAATGGATAAAGAAAAGGTTGTGTATGCATGTTACAGAATATTATTCGGCCATTAATGACAAAAAAATTCTTTGAGGGCTTTATACTAGGTGAATGAGTCAGAGTAAGACAAATAGCATATGATCTCTCTTAGATATGGAATTAAATTTAAAAAATAAAGAATTTAAAACTTAAAAAATTCAGGGAAGTCGTATTTATAAGTGAAAATAAAGTAAAAATATTTATAAATGAATAACTTTAGTTGGAAGCATGGTATGAATAAAATGAACATCTTCAGAAGAAAGTTCTATCTAAATTGCTTAATTTAATACTCTCTAATAGTTTAAAATATTTTGTAAGTTATTTAGTATTATTGGTTTCTTTTCTATGTCTATGTATATTATGTATTTCATTTGAAACAGTATTTTGAGTTCAAGAGGTGACAGAAGTAAACACAGCTCACGTTCTCCACAACCCCAACAAAATTACAACTGAACTGTAGAACAACCATCATTCAGAACTGTGACAAATCGAGCTGAACAGAAGTCCTACAACTACAGAATTAATGAAGAAACTGCACCTTCACTGGTAGGAAGGGTGGAGATACAGAACGGACAGGTTCTACACCCACATGTGGCAGATAAAAATCGGGATGGATATCTAAGGAGTGAAGCCCTGCACTAGGCTCCCCAGCCCAGGGTTCTAGTGCCAGGAAGAGGAATCTCCATAACTTCCAGCTGTGAAAAACTAGTGAGGATTGAGGCTGCGGAAGAGGAAACTGCTGGGCTGCCTGGAAGTTCCCCTTAAAGGGTCCATGCGCAAACTCACTTGCTCTGAGCTCTATTGTGAGGGCAGCAGATTGAAAGGCACCAGAGGCATATGGAGAGCAAATGAGCTGACTGGCATCAGGTTGAGAGCTGGGGCATAGCTTTCTCTTAGACAGAGGTGCTGGCAGAGGCCACTGTTCCTTTTCTCAGCCCTCCCTGCACAGAGCCAAAGAACTAGCAGGCAGGAGCCATACCTGAGACTCCATCAATCTGGCTCACACTGTTTCCTCCACCCAACCTGTTTCCAGTGTCCCTTCCATATGAATGACTTCTTGGCTCATGCTTCAGCTTTTCCTTAATTATTTCAAATAAGCAACATCTGGCTTCAGCAAGCCCCATACCCCTCACTAAGTTGTCCCAGGCCTGGTATCAGCAGCTGCCAGCCTCAGGTCACAGCTTGGCCTTGCCTGGGCACCTCCAAGCCCAGCACAAGTAGCAGCTATCGGCAGCTCACTTTGTAGCTTATGTTATGTGACCCCAAACATAACACTGGCCATAGCTGATCTCGGATGTGCCAAGAGCAATCAAGGCTCAACTACAACAGGAGGGTGTACAGAGCCCACATAGTGGGGCACACCTTGAGTACCCAGCTTGGGTAGTAGATAGAAGAGGCTGTGCCACTATACATTGCAGGCCACCAACTACTACATTAGGCCACTCTACCAAGCCTGGGAGAGGTGGTAGCTCTACCTAATACACAGAAATAAACACAGGGAGGCTGCCAAAATGAGGAGACAAAGAAACATGCTCAAAGGAAAGCACAGAACAAAACTCCAGAAAAAGAACAACAAAAAACCAGAGACAAACTACTTTCTGGATGCAGAGTTCAAAACACTGGTTTATAAGGATGCTCAGTGAACTTAGTGAGAACTTCAACAACACAGAAAGGGCAGGGAAACCATAAAAAGGAACCACTCAGAAATGAGGGAGATACTAATGAAAATAAAGAACAATTTACAGGGAATCAAGTTCCCTAATTTGGTGAAGGAAATAGACATATAAGTTCAGGAAGCACACAGAGTGCCAAATAAGATGGATGCAAACAGGCATCCATGACTCTCTGAGAAACATCATAATTAAAATGCCAAAGGTTAAAGATAAAAAGAGAACCTTAAAAGCAGCAAGAGAAAAGCAGTTCGTTACCTATGGGGGGGGGGTTTACATAAGATTATCAGCTAATTTCTCAAAAGAAACTTTGCAGGCTAGAAATTGACAAGAAATATTCAAAGTCATGAAAAGCAGGAACCTACAGACAAGATTGCTCTACCCAGCAAAGCTACTGCTTAGAATCAAAGGGCAGATAAAGAGCTTTCCAGACAAGAAAAAACTCCTTTAGGAGTTCATAATCACTAAGCCATTATTATATGCACTGTTAAAGGGACAGAAATATATACATATCATTAACTGAATCTAAAAAACAAACTAAGCAAGCAAGAAGAACAAAGACAAATGAGCTCCACAAACATAATCAGTTTCCTAAGAAAGGTAACTTGAAATGTCTTTATTGCAAGATCAACTTACCTCAAGTTGAACCCTCTGTTCTAAGTTCTTGTAGGATCTCTGTAGCAACTCCCGGGTTCCAAGGACTCCATACCACATCAAGTTTTTAGTTCGGCTCCTGATAATACACATTGGCAGGCAATTTCAGTAACTATTATTTACTTAGTCTTTAAAGGCAGAGCAAGCAAAAGAGATAATAAATGAAATTAAAATTGCCTTCGTGCACTAAAATTATTACTATTACCAAAATTACCTGCATTTTTCAGGATGTTCCTCTCTCTTATTATTAAATTCTAATGAAATTTTTGCATCTAATCCAATCCCAAAGTAATTGTTCATAACACATTTTTCTGAATATCCATCTCTATGATAATAAGAAAAAGTACAGGAAAGTCAATTTCAAGTTCATAACAATTACAATTTATATTCAGCACTTAAAAACCATTTAAAGATTCCATTCCTGAGAATAAAGCTAAGCAGAAATCACTTCTTATTTATATGAAATATGCATGACCCTAGTGTATGGCTGTAAATGTTGGTAACATATAAGGAACAGTGGACAAGACAAAGTGAAGAAAGAGTCATGGTAATGCTTCTGTACTATTCGTAACAAAATCTTAGTTCTGTTTCCTAAATGAGCTCCCCACCCCACTACATACACAACTGGGAGGGGCTTGCAGTCGGGTTCCAATACTCCTCTTCTTTCATAATTAAAAAGTTTACTCCACTTCTCTTATCAATGGACATATATGTGCTAACCAAAAAAAAACCTACCAGATCTATTCCATTTTTTTCTAGGTGCTTTGGAAAGTGCCAAGTTTAAATATGGTACTATTGTTGAGGACTGTCATTAGAAAAATGAGATACAATAAAGGCAAAATCAAATATGAAAGTAAAAGGAAGCATACATTGAACTGCCAAAAAAATTTTAGGAGTCTAAGAAGGGAAGAAATCAATGTGAGCCAAAAGCTTGCTGAAATAAGTAAACCCAGAAGCTGGATACAGAAAGATGACGGATCTGGCAAGACCAAGAAGAAAGGAGGTGAAGAGAAACACATAAATATGAATATGAAAGAGTCAACAAAAAATTTCAGAGAAAAGTGAGTGCAGTGGTGTCTCACTTTGCCACAGCTTATCATAGGAGACAATAGGCTGGAAGGGACCTACTTGAGGAACACAGCATGAAAACCACTGTATTTCACATGGATAAATGTGCTCATATTCATCAACTTTAGAAATGTTCTGATGATTCCTTTTGTACATGGAAACATATTTCTTGTAATACATTTAAAATGTTACCATTACTATAAAACAGCAACAAGAAAAGCCTAAACAAAATTTCTGTGAAAGTATTTGCTTACAATGAATCTGGATCTGGGTCAATAAATGGCGTTGCACCAAAAGGATCAATATTTGCTAGTAACATTTTGTTGATAATAGAACTCCCAGCAATTGAGGCAGCTAGTCCTGCTCTTAAACCTGTACAGGGAAAAATAAATATATATAGGGTCACATGTTAAGGAAAAAAGACAAAGAAATCCAGTCCATTATTTTCAGGCCTACTCTCAAACACCTTGTTCCCAAAGCATGGTTTTGCTGTGCCTGCTCCTCTCACTAATAAAAAATTAAGAATTATTATATTGGTAAGTACAAGGCTTTAATGCTTCTTAGGATCTACACACTGTAATAAAAAAAGAAAAAACAGATGAGCACCTCAATAGGAATCTGTGACAGTTTCTCATTTACCATCCTGATAATTCTACAATATTTATTGTAACTTCAATAAATATTACTTCCTTTGTTGTAACATATAAAGCACTAAGACTGTTAGAAATTTATAGTAAGGGCTGAATTACCCGAAATGTCATGGAGTTACTAATTCCATACTCTCAAAGCATAGATATTAATACTCAGTTTAAAATGTTAACAGATGTACTAAAGTAAAAACACAAGTTAGTGTCAATAAGTAGTAAAATATTAAATGCAGATATTGATATTTTTAATTAAAAATTTTTTATTGACTTTAGAGAGACAGAGGGGGAGAAAGGAGAGACACATAAATTGTCAATTTGTTGTTCCACTTATTTATGCATTCATCAGTTAACTTCTGTATGTGCCCTGACTGGGGATCAAACCTGCAACCTTTGTGTATCAGGTTGATGCTCTAACCAACTGAGATTACCCAGCCAGGGTGTGTATTTATATTTTTAGAAGAATACAATATTAAACATTAAAAAATTAAGCATTTATCTTACTTCCAAATATGCAAAACCAAATTTATCTGAACATTATTTCTACTAAATAGTTGTGGTGTCATCTATTCAACCCAATATTAAGGCAAGAACCACAAAGTCTGGAAAGAAGACAATGTAATAGGTGTTTAAGGCAACAAACAAAACGGAAACCAGTAAACAAAAATATGTAATGCAACTGGAGAACATTAGGGAATTAGAAAAAAAAAAAGACCTTTCTTAAGCAAACATTTGTTTCCCAACATGTGCCATTTTCTCTTCTTACATTATATTCATTGTTCTACCTACTAAAGTTTAGCTACTATCAAATAATCAAGATGAATTTATTTCGCCATTTAATTTTGCAGTCAAACATGCAATAGTATACTTTACTATGCCAACTGCCCTTATGTCTAAGTAAGTAAATAAAAAAACAAAGCAATCATTCTGATGGGAGGAAAGAACAGTTTGGACAGGTGAAGAGCTATACCCCGACTGTCCCACAGAAAAGTGTAATCTTTTCTAAAATGTTTTTAGGTTAGCCATATTTACAGCTTCAGCCCAGAAAGGTCACCCCAAGGTTCCAGGATTGAATCTCTATGACCTCTAGACATGGAGGTCTTTCCAGAATCAAGCATGTTATTTTATCTTTTTTGTTTTACTATTTTTATTGAAGTATAATTCACATACCATCAAATTCACTCTTTAAAAGTGTTTAATTCAGTTGTCTGTAGTACATATAAAAAGCTGTGCAATGATAGCAACCATTTAATTCTACAACTTTTTTTATTATTCTCAAAAGAAACTCCATACATATTAGCAATCATTTCCACTCTTTTCTCCCCACAGACTCTGAAAAGCGCTAAAACACTTTCAGTCTCGGTGGATTGACTATTCTAGACATTTCATATAAATGGAATCATGAAATATGTGACTTTCTATGTTAAGCTACTTTCACAGGACATAATGTTTTCATGGGTCATCATGTTATAGTATGTATCAATTCTTCATTCTTTTTAATTGTTGAATAGTATTCTACTGTATGACTATACTATAATTTTCTTTCTCCATTTCAGTTGATGGATATTTGGTTTTTTTCCACTTTTTGGCTTTGTAAATAACCTTGTTATAAATAGTTGTGAATAGTGTTTGCATAGACATATCTTTTCAATTCTTACAGATACATGCCTAGTAATTAAATTTCTACATTATATATTAGTTCTGTTTAATTCTTTGAGAGGCAGCCAGATTTTTTCAAAATGGCTTCACCATTTTATATTCTAAGCAGTGACAGTGACAGTTCCAGTTTCTCTATGTCTTTGCTAATATTTCTTATTTTCTGTCTTTCTGATCATAGCCATCCTAGTGGAGGAGGTACTCCTAGTGGAGGAGTATCTCCTCCTGAGAGGAGGAGATACTGCCAAAAAACTGTGGTTTTTTAAAATTTACTTTCACTTTTTTTTGTTAATCTATGATCAATAATCTTCTCTTCATTTTTTAAAATTGTTGTTCAAGTACAATTGTCTCCATTTTCACCCCACCATTCCCTGCCACCCCCACCTCCCTTGATAGGAACCCCCTTTGGCTTTGTCCCTGTGTCCCTTAGACATATTCCTTGACAACACTCCCCCTTTTCCCCCCTACTATCCCTTCCACTCCCTTCTGGTTACTGTCAGTTTGCTCTTTAATTCAATGTCTCTGGTTACATTTTGCTTGCTTGTTTTGTTGATTAGTTTCCACTCATAGGTGAGATCATATAATATTCGTTTTTCACTGCCTGGCTTATTACACTTAACATAATGCTTTCCAGATCCATTCATGCTGTTACAAAGGGTAGGAGCTCCTTCTTTCCTTCTGCTGTGTAGCATTCCATTGGGTAAATGTATCTTAGTTTTTTGATCCATTCATTTACGATGGGCACTTCGGCTGTTTCTAACACTTGGCTGTTATTGTAAATAACGGTGCTATGAACATAGGAGTGTATCTATTCTTTTGAATGGGTGTTTCAAGATTCTTAGGGTACAATCCCAGTGCTGGGTCAAAAGGCAGTTCCATCTTTAGTTTTATGAGGAAATTACTGTTTTCCACAGTGACTGCATGCATCTGTATTCCCACCAACAGTGTACTAGAGTTCCCTTTTCTCCATATCCTTGCCAGCACTTGTTGTTTGTTGATTTGTTAATGATGGCCATTGTGACCAGAGTGAGGTGGCATATCATTGTGATTTTAATTTGCATCTCTCTGATGGCTAGTGATGCTGAGTATCATTTCTTATGTCTCTGGGCCCTCTATATGTCATCCTTGGAAAAGTGTCTATTCAGGTCCTTTGCCCATTTTTTATTTGGACTGTCTTCCTGGTATTGAGAGATATGAGTTCTTTGTATATTTTTGAGATCAAACCCTTGTCTGACGTATCATTGGCAGCGAATATGTTTTCCCATAGAGTAGGTTCCCTTTTCACTTTCATGATGGTTTCTTAAGTCATGTAGAAGCTTTTTAAATTTGATGTAGTCCCATTTGTTTATTAGTCTTTTATTTCCCTTGCCCTAGGAGATATATCAGCCAAATTTTGCAGCATGGGCTATCTAAGCCTTTACTGCCTATGTTTTCCTCTAGGACTTTTATGGCGTCACAACTGGTAATTAGACTTTTATACATCTTGAGAGCTGGTGTATGGTATAAGTTAGTGGTCTACATTTATTTTCCTCCATATACCTGTTCAGATCTCCTGACGGCATTTACTGAAGAGGCTATTTTTACTCCATTCTATGTTCCTGCCCCCTTTGTCAAATATTAACTGACCATAGAGGCTTGAGTTTACTTCTTGGCTCTTTATTCTGTTCCATGGATCTATGTGTCGGTTCTTCAGCCAGTACCAGACTGTTTTGATTACAGTGGCCTTGTAATATAGTTTGACATCAGGTATTGTGATCCCTCCTACTTTGTTCTTCATTCTCAAGATTGCTGAAGCCATGTGGAGTTGCTTTTGGATACATATAAATTTTTGAAATATTTGTTCTCAATCTGGGAAATATGTCATTGGTATTTTAATGGGATTGCACTGAATCTATAGATTGCTCTGGGTAGTATACATACTTTAATGATGTTAATTCTTCCAATCCATGAACACAGTATATGCTTCCATTTATTTGTATCTTCCTTAATTTTTTTCTTCACTGTTCTGTAATTTTCAAGTACAGGTCTTTAACCTCATTGGTAAAGTTCATTTCTAGCTACTTTACTTTTCTTGTTACCATGGTAAATGGGACTTTTCCCCTAGTTTCTGATTCTGATATTTTATTGTTGGTGTACAAAAATGCCTTCGATTTCTGAATACTGACTTTGTATCCTGCTGTTTGCCAAATTCACTTATTAGGTCAAGTAGATTTTTTGGGGGCAACTTTTTAAATTTATTTTTTAGAGAGCGAAGAAGAGAGAAAGAGAGGGAGAGAAACATCAGTGTGTGCTTGCCTCTCATACACCCTCAACTGGGGACCTGGCATGAAACCCAGGCATGTGCCCTGACTGGAAATCAAACCAGCAACCCTTTGATTCACAGGCCAGCACTCAATCCACTGAGCCACACCAGCCAGGGCAGGTCAAGTAGTTTTTTGGTGGAGACTAGAAGGTTTTCGACATACACTATAATGTGGTCTGTAAACAATGACAATTTTGCTTCCTCCTTTATAATTTGGATGCCTTTCTTTTTCTTGTCTGATTGCTGTGACTATAACTTCTAATACTGTGTTGAATAAAAGTGGTGAAAGTGGCCACCCTTATATTGTTCCTGATCTTAGTGGGAAAGCTTTTAGTTTTTGCCCATTGAGTATGAAGTTGACTGTAGTTTTCTCATATATGGTTTTTATTATGTTGAGCTGTACCCCCTCTATTCCCTGAGCATTTTTTCATAAATTGGTGATATACTTTATCAAATGCTTTTTCAGCATTTATTGATATAATCAATGATTTTCATCTTTCTTTTTGTTTATGTGGTGTATCACATTTCTTGATTTGTGAATATTGTACCATCCTTGCATCCCTGGGAGAATCCCACTTGTATCATCATTTTAATGTACTGCTGGATCCTGTTTGCCAATATTTTGTTAAGGATATTAGTGTCTATGTTCATCAGTGACACTAGCTTGTAGTTTTCTTCCTTTCTTGTGTCTTTACCTGGTTTTAGAATTAGGATAACACAGGCCTCATAAAAAGAGTTTGGTAGTCTTCCCTCTTCTTGAATTTTTAAAA